AACATATCTCCAGCAGTTATTGATTGGTTTCGAAGCTACCTCTGTGGACGTCGGCAGTGTGTACGCAATGAGAATTCTTTCTCTACGTGGTGCGATATTTCCGCCGGAGTCCCGCAGGGTGGCGTCCTTTCTCCTCTCTTATTTTCTTTGTTTATTAACTCTATCACACAATCCCTCACGTCTTCTTATCATCTTTATGCTGATGACCTCCAGATATACACTCCAGATATACAGTCGTCTATTCAAGTCAATTATCACTTACCACGTGACATTAATACTACCAATGTGTACCTTGAATCCATTCGTCAATGGAGTCAGTCCTTTGGCCTTAAAGTTAACCTATCTAAAACGCAATCGATTATTATAGGTAGCACTTGCTTCAATTCTCGTTTAAATCTAGACTCCTTACCCCCTGTGGTTTTCGATGGTGTCTGTATTCCTTATTTGGATACAGTCAGGAATTTGGGGGTAATTTTTGATAAATGTCTGACATGGAAGCTGCAAGTTTCTGAGGTTAGCAGGAAGTTTAAATAGCCCTAACTGGATTACAAATATCTGTATTTTATATTTATATATAATAATATTTGTATTTGTATTTATCAACGTCCGAGTTCTTATATGTTCTTAACGATGTCAGAGCATTAATGGATTGTACCACAGACGAAGAAAAAAATTAAAGGAGTGTTATACCGTGTACGATACACGAACGTACATTTTGTAGAATAAGCACATTGCGCCATTTACCGGTTATTAGGTCAATGTAACAGAAATGCATAAATTACGAAATGCACTTTAATTCTAAAACTCATTCGCAAGCCGTCGGACATTCCATCTATCAGTTATCATTTTAGCAGTTCTTTTAGCAATAAACTTTCACATTATATCAGACTCTTATCATTGAAAGATGAACAAACCGTACGTCTTTATGGTTCTTCGAGCCGGATCCTCGCGTGTGTAATTTTCGTGATATTTTAACGTGAATTCGACATATGAGATACAATATCAGTGCAACATGGAAGTTACGTCTACTTTACACATCATCATCAGCTATCAGCATTATCAGATTATCAACAGCAGTATCAGCTATCCGTCGCATCAGTAATCAGCATCGGTAATCAGCATTGGTAATCAGCATCGGTAATCAGCATCAGTAATCAGCATCAGTAATTAGCATCAGTACATCAGTTTAGCTTTGTGTGTTTTTGAAGTCTTTGTTTGGTAGCGAATCGGTTTTCCGGCCTCCCACCAGTGGGTCTCACCGGGAAATTGAGAAACCGCACATACCTACAAGGGTTCCATAAACACCCATCTAAATCAACATTATCTATCTGCATTTCTATCAGATAAAACCAGCCAGGGAGAGTTTAATAGAAAAACATCTCTGCGCATGCAGAATATTGAAAGCATTTTCATCAATTTTAAAAAGGATGGGCCAGAACGGAAGACCTATTCAAATATTAACAGAAGAATCAGCATGCTCTCTATACATTGGAATGACTTTGAGAGCAGTCATATGCAACTGATTGATTATCAAGATGTCGGTCACGCGTACTTCCGTCAAAATTGGTATGAAGCTACGAAAACTTTCAGCAAATAATTACCGAAATATCTACATCGTTATTCCTTATATACTGAAGATCCAACATCCCACTCGAAATCCTCAACGCCTTGTATTTCAATTGGAAATGTTATCTAATTTACACGGATTTTCAAAACTATAAATTAGTGAAAACCCAGCATGCATAATTTCGTCACTGGGGAAATCGGACACCGGGACTAGCACTGCGTCGCCCGCTCGTCTGGCACCTCTTGAAGTACATGTACAACCACCCACAACGCAGGTACAATACTCCGAGCCAGAGCGCCCTGTAACTACAGGAAGGCATCGTAGTACGCCTAGCAAGCTAGAAGAAATGCTCCGCAAACAACTTCAAGGCTTTCTCTCATACCATCACCAACATTAACTTTGATTCCTTAACAGAAAAATGGGATTCGAAGACGTATTAAAGCTTGTACATTCGCGTTGGAGCGCGATCGATTCCTTACATTGGGATATAGATAGCGAGAGAAAAAGACGTGGACTACGAGCGTACGTTCAACAGATACGAGTAAGAGTGCACAGCTATCAAGAAGACACTAAATCAGAAAATGTGGTCAGCGACATACAAAACGAATACTACACCCACTATGGACATTCCAACTTTCATGGTGACTATCATAAATGGATATCTTTCAAAGATTTATTTGAAGAGACGATTCACAAAAATCGCTATATGTCAAATGCACAAAAAATGCAGTTCTTGAAGAGCAAAGTCAAGGGTAAAGCAGAGAAACATATACAGCATCTTAATATCAAATCAGACAATTATCAAGTGTGTTGGGGTATTCTCAATCATAGATACAATAATGTTAAAATGATCTTCAGTTCTTACATCAACATAATTATGTCCCTGCCCTTGATGCAACAGCATACAGCATCACTAATTAAAAAAATTCATGACACTACGAAAGAGTGCTTGAACGCTATCAAGAACCTGGGAGTCGACGTAACTACCTGGGACCCATTACTTGTCCACATGCTATACCAAAAATTGGATGCTGAGACGCACAAAGACTACATTGAATCAGTTAATTCGCCTCGAGAACTACCATCGTTATCAGAGTTTTTCGAGTTTTTGAAAAACAAATTCACTTCACTCGAAGAACCACGGAGGAAGCAAGACAGCAACATGCAAAAATCTGGTTTTCATAATTCGACATTTAATATGAAAAAAATGCTTCAGCAACGGTATAGCTCCAACCTCAATAAAATCATATCATGAGCAATACCTATTGCAACAAGCCATTTGCGATGTTTTGGCAGAGAGTTTAATGGCACAATTAGGCATTTTTCGTGTTCTCGACTGATGTTTTTTTATGATATTAATTAAATGATGGGACGAACAAGTCGTGCGCCTGATGGTAAATGACACGCTTGTCCATAACAGTTGCAGTGCGACTCAGAGCTTTAAATCGCAAAGATCTGAGGTGCATTGCCTTTGTGCTCATCACCCTGAGACATAAGTTGTAAAGTCCTATGCCTGTAATTTCACCAGCAACCATGTTTAAACCATGTTTAACTACGATAACAACCGGACGGATTCTGAAGCGTTGCAGCGGCAACTAAGCGTTTTAATATTGCATTGGACACGCGAAGTAGGTATGCCTGTGGCATCTATTTACATATATCGTCTGTGGGTATGTCATAAGTATAAAATATAAAAAAGAAATGCAAAACTATTTAAACAACATTTCTAAAAGGAATGTTCAATTAAAATTCATATACAAATATGAACATAATTATTATTTCCTTTATGGCGGCCGCTAGGCTTGTACCGAAGTCAGTTTTATGAGAAAAATATAAAAGTTACGGCGATCATCGCCAGTATCTTTGAATGCAATCTTAAAATAGTGAAAATAGAAAGCTGTCGTTGAAAATATAACAAATAGAAGGTTTCTCAATTGTGTACTTTTTGATTTGTTAGTTTACAATAAATTGTATAGATGGCACTTCTTTGACTTTATTCTCAAAACTAAGCAACGTATTAGCACTGACTTTAAAATTCTAAAGTACATACTTAGCTTCTTTGCGATGCTATATGTATATTATTGTTTAAATAACAAAACCTCTCTTTTTATACATGATAGGCAGATGACTCCACTCTACCTGATGTCAAATGGAAAGTGGAATCCAAACGTGAAGGTACCTAGTGCAGTTTTCACACAATCACTGTCCTAGCCACCTCCATCCTGCATACATAGAAGATGCCTCTTCACGCCTCGTTTAAAGGATCCCATATCGTAAGAAGGAGGGAATAAGTGCGCTAGAAAGGAGTTCCATTTCACAGTAGACGCTGTGTCGTCTTCGGAATCCTTAACCTGTGATCCCGAACAGTTCAGTAAATTGACCTCTCAGTTTTTAAATTACACTAAAATATTAGCGCAGAATATTCGAAGCATAAATAGGAACTTTAATAGATTAACTATTCTCCTGTCTAGGTTGAATACAGAGTTTGACATTATTATAATGACGGAATTCTGGCTATCACGAGTAGTACCCACCTTCTATTAGTACTCATTCTTGTTATGTTACTAAGAGTCTGCTTTTTTTATAGTTACAATCAAAATGATGGTGTCGTATTATACATAAAAAGTACGTTAAAACATTCGGTAGAGGAGCCTCCATTCTCTGAAGCAAAATGCCTATTTTGAAATTGGGAGTCGACACTGTAATATTCGCTATATATCGCCCCTATTGCTTTAAAAATAACATAACTACTTTCCTTCATTCCTTACTGTGCACACTAAAATCGTTCCAGAATTTAATCTTAATGGGAGATATCATTATAGATATAGCCAACAATAGTTTCCACTCCGATGCTGATCCATACTTAAACTTAATAGCGTCTCACGGTCTACTTACTTCCTTTACCTACCCGACTAGAGCCAACTCATGCCTTGATCACTGTTTAGTTAAAACAAAAGGAACAGCGTACACCTATATTATTCATTCGTATCTTATTGACCCTGACGCCGTACTTACACACACACACTTACACACACACACATATGCACGCACGCACGCACGCATTCATGCACTGTACACCCCTTAACTCCACATGGATATATGGATGGATACATAATGGACTCCACATTTTACTTTTCTGTAACTGAAGTGAAATTACATTTTTGGCCGTATTTTTTTCAGTTTTCAAAGTTTTTATCTATTTATAAATACGCATACTTTGCAAAAGGGTTGGTGTAAATAAAACATAGCATTTCGTAGGCAATTTTGCATATATTGTACGTAACAAATAATATATTAAAAAACACTAAGATCACCGCAATTCTGCTGTAAATATATCCATTAGAAACGATTTGTATTTTTCTACATCGAAACTATAAGCTACTCTGACATTTGCGTTTTCTTCTTTTCCAAAATTATCTGTGTTTATTCCCCGTTTATTTCCTGGAAAAACATACAAATGAGATATTCACTAAAGCAGAATTATGAAACAAAATATTAATCGAAAGATTTGGAATATTCTCTTCTTTGTTCCAACGATATAGTAACAAAAGTATGTACTGGTTATCGAATATCAGAGCAAGGCCTATGCGATCACAGTACTTCAACCTATTTTAACAGGTAGTTACAAAACAGCTTTGTTAACAAAGAGTATAGTTGGAATGGCACCAAAAATATATAATAAACTATTGGAAAATATGAAATCATTACTAATTACCATTATTCAAAAAGAAACTAACATCGCTATTAATTGATAAATGTTATTATACTATTAATGATCTTCTTTGTTCCAAAGATATATTAACAAAAGTATGTTTTTTAAATCTCAAGAAAATTTGCTTTCCAATACATTATATTGATTGGACGTCGTTTTCATGCGCCCATCATATACTAATGCACAACGTAGAAGTGGTGCTGTTTCAACGACCAATATGATAGGTACATTGAATAAACAGCACATAAATGTTAAAATAAGAAAACTGAGATTCCAAAGTAAATATGTGTATGATAATAGGTCCTTTTTTAAAAAAAAATAAATGACGCACACACTCAACATAGCCCCGCACTAGGGAAACCCTGTGTCGCGGGTGCCATGGACACACACATAGACAACTACAAATTACACCCAAACTCACGAGAGAAATAAATGTAGGCCATACAAACATTTCTTCCGGCACGGGAATCGAACCTGGGACCTCTGCGTGGCAGTCCGGCATGGTAACCGTTCGGCCACAGAGCCAATTTGAAACTATGTCATAGAATAATGAAAAAACTTACCACATAAAATAATATCATTCTTCGAAAACTTGTACTCGGTTACAAAATCAGGTTCTTTCCCGTTCTTTAAAGGTACATTACTTAATGCTGTCGCTATAACAGCCAGGTCGAGCAAAACCCACGATTTATTTTTAGGCAAAGATACCCTTTCATATGAATTAATAGCTTTTATTGAATCCGTATTTATTTTCCCAAGCTTATTTTGTCGCCAATCCTTAAAAAAATCGTAAGTAGACATGGGTTTCACAGAGCTGAATTAAAGATTACAAATATCGAAGTCAGGAGAATAGAATTGCAACATGAAAAAATGGGTAACAAATAATTAAGGAAAGTGAGTGATAGGCTTATTTGCGTATAGAAAAGGGATGATCTTGAAGTAGAAGACACATGGCATGTACTTCAACGAGGAATGGTTGTAGTGCGAAAGAAAGGTGCAATACCTATAAGACGAGACGAATGCGGGATAATAAAAACTATTCTGGAAAGGTGTACGGAAAGAAAAGGGAATATACGTGGTAAGGGATGAAAGTGGTACCTTAGTACTGGATGAGAAGAGCGTGCAAAAGCGATGGAAAGATTATTTTGAGGGTCTGTTTGTAAGTGATGATAACCACATTCGTCTCGGATAGTTGACACAAATGTTGACGTAGACGGGTGTAGTAATGGATGAGATTATAAATGCGATTAAATGAATGAAAAATAGCAAGTCGGCAAGGTATTCCTGTATAAAAATGTTGGGCAAAAAGTAAGGTGCCCGAAGAGCTGTAATTGGGCCTTTGTACAAAGAGAAGGGATCACACCAGGAAACCAAATATTACTATTATATTGACTTACCAGATCTATGTCCAAATAATCATGTACCTGTGAGGAAGGAACAAGTGTAACTTTATCCGGAGTTGCGTATTGAGCTAATATACGGTAAGCTTCAACGTCCATGCGAGCATTGAATTCGGGGTTTGGGTAACGTTCGCCTAAAATTTAAAAATAAAAAATTGTAATGATCTCGTTTCTACACATTTTTCTTTTGAATATGACTTCGAGATCGAAGTTACTGACCCGTAACAGGAATGAGGAAATCTGTCCTGTCCTGCAACTTGACCTTTCTTGTAAGGTGTCGTACAGATTTACTCTTCCTAACACTTTACAGATAAGTTCACAGTTAGTTAACGTTGGCGTGCAAAATATAATCTTAACAACTTTTGATTTCTATAGGTATAGCGTTCAAATTTGTATTTATTGCACCTACTGTTACGATTCTTTCGTCCGTCAATGAATACCAACGTAACAAATAACGAAGTGTGTAAAATTTTACGGTATTTCTTAATATTCAATTTTTTTTTACATAATATAAGTGCGCATTTGATCTCCATCTCACCTGTTGGAAAGTAACGATGAGGTCGACAAAGGAGCATGCACACCTAAATAATGACTATTCACTGTCGCCTTGAAAATACCCAAGTTATAACGTTCATGGAACAAGTCTGCAGGCAGGGAATTCCACTCCATGGCCGTTCGCTATATAAATGTGGAAGCGTAACGCTTCGTGCGAATCTTAGGAATATCCACAACATAGGGGTGGAAAACAAGCCTACGCCTAGTCCCGCGGTGATAGAAAGGGTAAGGCGGAATTAAGTCGTGTAATTCCGTCGCACACTCTCCGTGATATATCCCGTAAAATACCGATAAGTAGGTAACTTTACGGCGGTGTTCAAGGCTCTGCCGCTTCACCTCCACTAATTCCGAGTCACCTATAAGCCTTTTGGCACGGTTGTCCATTGAATCCAAAGTGGCCAGTTGATATGTAGCAGAGCCATCCCAAAGGTGGCAGCAGTACTCCATGCGCGATCGGACTTATGCTTGATACAGCTGAAGCAACTGTCCCAGTGTAAAGTAACGCCTCACCTTGGAAAGGATCCCAAGCTTCCTTGCTGCATTTTTGGCCATGGATCAATGTATCTGCCGAACTACAAATTGGACGACAAGTCCATTCCAAGTAGCTGGAGACAAACGGTATAGATATATCACGAAAAGTCGGAGTCAGCTCAAAGGGACTCCGTTTTGTGGAGAATAGACACGCCTGCGTTTTGGTAGCATTAAATTTGACAAGATTTGGCCTAGAATTGGTCTTTTTTTTTTTGTAAATATATTGAAGACAAAATAAAATTAAATATATCCCATATCCCAACTGAATGACAAATACCAAGACAAAAATAGCCTAGTTTGATATGGCGCCTGCAATGTATTTTAACTCGATACGGATGTTCTAATTTCGCCGGCGATATTACCACTAGGTTGCTTAAAATACACTTACTTTCGATGTCTCCCGCACCAACATGTTTATGTTGTTGTTCTTATAATAATTGTATTAAACAAAATTTTTAAACATCTAATTATGATTCCTAAGTTTTCCTAAACTTTACTTACTTTCGACGTGTGCCGCACCAACATACAGATGATTAAATCGTTGCAAAAACTCAGGATCCAACTTTATAGCCAAAGCTACATTTGTGAGGGCTCCGATAGTAATCAGAATCAATTTACCTGAAATATTGATCGATTAAATTGCATAAACAGATAAAAATAGTATATATAAAAAAAATTACGAAAAAAAAGCGCCGCGCTACCAGATTGTTTTTGACAATGAAAAAGCTTGCGCTTCCTTCAGTAACACAGGTAAAAGGAGTGCACATCGTAATTTCTTTATTTTTTTATATATAGGGCGCACTATAAGTTTCCGGAACTGGCCACTTACATAAACAATATTTAAAAAGTAATTACAACATTTGAAAATGGAACTCTTTGGCTGCAGAATACAGATTCAACGAAGGGGCGTCAAATTTAGTGTGGGACGTAGTAACAGGTGACAAAACATGGATTTATAGTTATGATCCCAAAACAAAGCAGCAATCGTGCGTATGGATCTTTCGAGATGAGCCTAAACCAACCAAAGTGGCGCGCGTGCAAAGTAACTTCAAAAATGAATTTTTGAAGGTGAACAACGTTGACCTTATGAGACATCCCGCGTACAGTCCCGACCTTGTGACTTTTATTTATTTTCAAAAATTAAGAACCAGTTACGCGGTCAACGATTTTCATCTCCTGAAGAGGCTGTCGAAGAGTATGAAAAATATGTTTTAGAGATTGTCACGGAGAAGTGGCATAAATGGTTTCAAAATTGGTTCATTGGTATGAAAAAGTGCATTAACGCTAACGGAGAATATCTTGACAAACAATAAATTAATTTCTGACCATTTATAGTATTTTGTTCTTATTCATTCCGGAAACTTAAAGTGCGCCTCACGTATAAGTGGTAAAAGATACAATAACGTGATATATATTCTGACCAGTTACAAAATAACGTGGTTCAGAATTCTGTTTAAAAAAACAAACTACATATCAGCAATAAAATAATCATGCAATGACACCTTCATGCTTTTTAGACAATTCTAAAAGAGTTTCGACAGCGCCCTGCTTCTGCGCTGGTACCAGTCCTGTTAACGTCTCGTTATTATCTCCCAACCCATCTTGACCAAAGTAATAATCTGTTTCAGTGTTTGTTATGATTAGTGAAGAGTTTGATCCTCTGTATATTGGTATCTGAAAAAAATAAGATCGCGGTGTATAAAGTTAGGGACAGCAATTCCAAGTGAATTAGTAAAATGTAATTAACTTAGAAGGCTTTCCTTTAAAAGTGATAAATTATTATACAAATGACTCGTATAATAATATAAATGTAATATGAATATAATGTTAATGGCCTTTGGTGAAGAAATCAAATACGTGTTTTTGCTTTTAGTACCACTCAGTACCTGTGATATGACATCACATATGTGTTTAAAAAAAGGGTACAATTTTTGCAACCGCGAGCATGTGACATGAACCAGTAGAGCTCTTTTTAAAAGAAAGTCGTCTCCATACCTGCAATTATCTCTATGCCTACTTAATTTTTGGTAATTTTCTGTTGTTTTTAATGTTGTTTACATTATTATAGTCTTATTTATTTACTAATGTTATGCTCCTCGTATTTTGTAAAAAGAGATAAAAACCAAAAAACAAAGTAAAAACAAAAAAATGACCATAATTATGTTGGCGTAGTATTCATTGGAGGTATCGGTCTAGGGAAGTTCTGCTACGTTACGAATTTCTGCCGCCGAGCAGTAATTTCTGCGTTCCGATTTTGAAGGGTATTTAATTATTCGTATTCGTTCCAAATCCGAGACTACACAAATCTAGAAAACTCGGACACACTTCGGATGTCGTTTGTGCACTAAGTCTGATTCAAATCCGTCATTTCTAGGATTCGGAACAGATACTAATTGGACATGATTGCTGGTAACGTATACAACCGGTGTTTCAACAAATGCGAAATACTTGGAACTCTCGTTGGCAACCTTTCCGTCAAACAGTGGTTAAAAATTATGGCAAAATTCAACCTAAACTATCTTTTAAACCTTGATTCTTGACTATGAAATCGATCCCGAAAAATATTACTTCAGCAATTATTCGGCTACGCTAAGCACACATGTGTGTTCTTGGCTAGATCCGTGTTCGAGACCACTCCCTGTGAGAGTGTGGTCAGGCAGAAGGTACCCTCGAGCACCTGTTTTTTGACTTCAACCTTCATCACTCCTTTGTACGATATCCTCCCCCCTATAATCCCCCGTCCCATGAATATCAACTTCCTTGTTTCTGTAATAGTCTGTGTATGTTGTCTGGATGCTCCTCTCAGCGAATTCTCTCGAAATTCCGTCAAATTTTGACTCAAAATCACCGGTCAAATTTTGAGTAAAAAAAGCACGTCTTCGTTAACTTGACATTGGCGGAATCCTCGATTATATCGATGTAGCTATAACATTATAAAGAAGAAGATACAATCGGAAGTAGAACGCACACGCTTTAAGGGTGCTGGTGAAATTACGGGCATATGTGACTTGTCAACTTATGTCTCAGGGAGACGCAGTGGCAGTGCCCTTAAGATCTTTGCAATTTAAAGCTTTGCGTGGCACTGCAACTGTTAAGGATAGGCGTGTCGCTTAGTACCAGGCGCATAACTTGTTCGTTCCGTCACTTGGTGCTATCAAAAAAAGTCACTGAATATTAGCGCTTGTTCATGTCAGGATTGATCGAGAGTGTGCGTACGATTAAATGATCTCCCAATTGAATTTGATTTGTGCAAGGGCCCTCCTCCGCTAAGAAAACGAAACGGAATCAACGAATATGCAATGTCCAGAAAAAAATTGGATGGCGACAAAAAGTAACCTAAGTCATATCATTTCATGCAAACTGCTGCTCAGCATAAACAATATTCGTACTTACTACCAGACGTAACGAACGTAACAACAAATTTTAATGTCGTGAATTTAGGCGTGTCTTCAAGGTAAAAGCTTAATATTAATTAGTAGTAATCAGTAATTCCTTACTCTTAACAATTACTAGAAAATTCACTGTACAACATATTGTCACCACAGAACAAAAATGTTGAGAAATATTACACATTCTTGAGGAACAGTAAAATGAGTGTCGGTAGTATGTATAAATGAGCCTAATGATGAAACATATGATCGTCCACTGAAAGATATTTTGTTGGATAAAGGTTTGTTCAGACATATCTGAGCGTTATTCCCTTCCGCTGTATGGATAGCGAAACATACTGCACAGTATTCCGCCGGGCATTTGTATGAAGTTCCGTGTTTAGAGCGAAACCTGGAAACCGAGCAACATCGCCCAGGTAGGCGGTATCTTTTCGCTTGCTTACGAAACACGTATCGTTATTTATCCCTACGCTACCGACAGTGGCAGCGAATAAAGCCTCCCTACATATATCTGAACAGTTTTAAATAAATCTTAATTTAATCTACCAGTATTTATGTAATACGTCGTACTTACATCTTGTCTTCCAGCTGCTCTCAGAATTTTCTGGTTGTTAATATTCACGTTATCTTCTATTGTATTACAGTTTCCTGTTGTTAAAGCGATCACTTCTGGTCTGAAACGTCGAAAAGATTAATTGTCACCATATATGAGTTTCTTACAATGAAGGTAAAAGAGGAAGAAATAGAAATATCGATCGTAAAGTTAACAAAGAAACATTTGTTTTTAAAATGACAAGATTTGATAGCGTACTGAAGTCTTACGTACTTATATTGTAAGATATATTACGGTGAGTGTGATATAGAATTGCATAATTTAATTCCACCTTTCCACGCATTGGAGGAATAGACTTAGTCTAGGGTTCCACTCCTATGTTGTGGATATTCCACGAATTCGCAAAAACGCTCCACATTTATATAGCGAACGGTTAAGGAGTGGAATTCTTTGTCTACAGACTTGTTTCCAGAACGCTATAACTTAGACCTTTTAAGGGGAGAGTGAATAAACATGATGCAATTGATGAGGCTACCGCGGATTCTTTAACAATTTTATGTAGATTTCAAACTCGAATATTATGAATAACAATTTTTTTTTTGTATTTTTTCCTGATATTCCAAAACCTTTTATAAAATTATTCTAAATTAACAAAACACTTACCCCTGAAAATATTTCTCATAAAGTAAGGCAATAAAAATTGCTATTGCGTCGTCGCTTCCAGCATCGTTATCAATTACAATTTTGATATCATTCCTTGGAAACCTAAGATTAAAAGTTCACTTTGTGATCACGATTTCAATTGTAATTTGCTTACTTATGAAATAAAGATGATTTTGAATAATAGATCAACGAAACTATGAACTTCTACGAAATTGCATTTCTTGATACAGAAATTCAATTTTGTGGAGCGAATAACAAAATGTTGTAAATTCATGATTTATTATTAAATTGATTATTTTAAAAAAGAAGTATAAAAAGATTTTACAAGAAGAAAGCATTTACTAATTCTTTCATCTTACGAAGATGTATTTTTATTAAAAAAAAAACAAAATAACTCACGCGTTGACGAATAATGCTGTCAAAGAAATAAAGTATAAAAATAACATTTTCACTAGAAGCCAGTGTATTCTTCGTACATGAACTGAAAAAAAGTCATAATTTAAAATATAGAAAAGTTCGTTACGTAGTCATTGACCCAGGTTTGTCTTTCACTCATCCATCAATGCACACAGCAGGTAGATATATCTGGTGATCTTATAATAGTAGTAGAGGTCCTTGTGAAAGAGTTCGTCCAGGGTAATACTGTCACCTTACCTATTTTTGCCGCCAAGCAGTAATGTCAGCATTACTGTGTTCCGCTTTTGAAGGGTACGGGTGCTGGTGAAATTACAGGCATAAGACACGTGTCAACTTATATCTCAGGGTAACGGGCGCAGTGGCAGTGCCCCTCAGATCTTTGCAATTTAAAGCTCTGAGTGGCACTGCAACTGTTATGGACAGGCGTTTCGCTTACCAACAGGCGTAAGTACGACTTGTTCGTCCCGTCACTTGGCATCATAAATAAAAAATAAAATACTATAATACAATTTAAAGTTTTTATTGATTGATATTCAATTATTTTTTGTGAAATTACTCCACTAGTTTGTTATAATTAATAATACAAAGATCGACCACTCAGAAACAAATCCTTCGATGCGGCCGGATTTGAACCGACGTCTTCTAGCTTACCGTGCCGTCATCACACGACTTGTTCGTCCCGTCACTTGATATTATATAAAAAAAAACATTGTCATATTTTATGCCCTTAACCATAAATATGCAATATCTGTCTACAGTAAAAACACTTGTAGATAAAGAATGTGAAGAAATGATAAATCATTGGTCAATGATGTTCTACCTCTATTTACTTTACAATGGAATGAGCAACTGGTACCTATCACTTACTGTTTATAACATTTTATTAAAAAGTGAAGTGCGGCTACTGACCAGATATACTTATTAAAACTTAGAATGAAACAGGTACCTACCACGTGACATAATAACACTTAAGGGTCGATACAACCTCAAATGGCTTTAGTAGATTCCGCATGACAGCGAAATTGTTGAACCAATCACTTTGGAAAAAAATATACGATTATTAATACAAAGATCGAACACTCAGAAAAAACACTCAGAAAAAATTCCTTCAATCCGGTCGGATTCGAACCGACGTCTTCTTGCATACCGTGCCAGACGCTATACCAACTAAGCCACGGAACGAACCAACGGACCTCACGAATTTTTCTATGTGCTTGCGTCGTGTCTTTGTACTTGGTCTTTCAACGACTTTTTAGTCGTAGCGCCATCTATGAGAAATCTATGACAGATTTATCACCCAGTTAGTACCTTCTACCAGCTACCAGTCCTGGCGAGAGATGTCGCTATTCACTGTATTAAAAATGCTTAGTTGGTATAGCGTCTGACACGGTATGCAAGAAGACGTCGGTTCGAATCCGACCGGATCGAAGGAAATTTTTCTGAGTGTTCGATCTTTGTATTAATAATTATAACAAACTGGTGGAGTAATTTCACAAAAAATAATTGAATATCAATTCAATAAAAATTTAATTAAAAAATATATGGTAAAATTGAGAATATACGATAGAAAAAAACACAAACTTACCTCAAAATTTTACAATAAAGCCGCTGTACGAATATTTAATAAGTATTTTACAGATACCAATGATTTTTTAATATCAACTGAATTAAATACAACACGTATAGTATACGATATAGATTTTTGTAATGGCTTTAATTTCCTTTGTAAAAAAATAAATCTTGAAATAAAGCCAGTGTCCCTACCGCTCGACCCAAGCAAAGTGAACCGTATCAGTACGGAAAATATTATATTATATATTAATATATAATATTATATAATATTATATAATATTATATATTAAGTAACATCAACTCTTATTGTCACGAACATTCGATAAACTTAATTATATTTAATCAATTTAATTTTACCGCTTCAACATATACGTTGAATTATTACCTATATTACATTGTTACAAATATACACATTTACTTACAAATATAGTAGCAGTAGAGCTCCTTCTGAATGGGTTCGTCCAGGTATGACTGCCACGGTACCTAATTGTGCCGCCAAGCAGTAATGTGACCATTAATGCGTTCCTATTCGAAGGGGTAAGAAGGGTAAGGGTGCTACTGAAATTACAGGCACATGGGACTTGTCAACTTATGTCTCAGGGTGACGGGCGCAGTAGCCAGTGCCCCTAAGATCTTTGCGATATAAAGCTCTGAGTGGCACTGCAACTGCTATGGATAGACTTGTTCTTCCCGTCACTGGGTATTATAAAAAATGCATTATTAATGTTATCTTATAAATCTTTTTAAAGGAGGTGTCTATATTTCCATATACTTTCCAACACACGTACTTCTTCACATTGTTAAATCATACATATAATGCTATAACCTCTATGATAATTGCATTTGTATTCACAGAACATTCTTACCTGAAAAACGAAATCTTTGGTGCCATTCCCTAGCGCCGTCTATAAGAAAGCGTAAGAACTACATAGTAAGAGTTTTTTTTAAGTCGTGTGTTAAGGAACTAAATTGAATTCGGTTTCTCTGAGGGTTTGTTAGGTGGAGTTGAAACTAAAAACCATAAAAACGGCCTACCGTTTGAAAATTTTGGCTCCACATACTTTTGGAAGTTTTCTCTTAGTGAATTACGTTATATTTCTGTTTTTCAAGTTTTTATCTATGCAGGGGCTTGGATATAATTATGTACGGAAAGCAGGATTTTTCAACTGCCATATAAATTGAATAAACAACGCTTATATGGCGGACTTCATTGAGTGCTGGGCTATAGAAAAGGCTCTCGCAGATTGCAGGATTGATGAGAGATACATAGGTAACACTCAACAAGCATTTACAGAAGAATCATCGGTTAGATTGCACAAGCTCACGGAACCCTTCAAGATTGGCCGCGGTGTCCGTCATGGAGATACAACTTCTCCGAAATTGTTCTCAACAGCCCTTGAAAGCATATTTAGAAATCTAAATTGGGATGATAGGAGACTAAAATTACTGGAGAAAGGTTGAACAATCTAAGGTTCGCGGACGACGTAGTTCTCCTGTCTGACAATATCGAAGGCATGACTACATATGATAACTATGATAGCAGATCTGCAGAAAGAGTCCACAAAAGTGGGTCTAAAAATGAACATCTCTATAACAATATTATGTCCAAAATTCTAGGGGTATAGAGGTTTCCACATTCTAATTTTCAGCCTAATCAGAGAAAGTATCTTTCGGCAGCCATTTTTAACGAAAAAAACGCTTAAATGGCAGTTACATAAAAAAATACGAAAAAAAAGTTTTTTTAACCCCAAATTACGACTAAGGACTCCTAAAGACCGCCCATGCCAATTTTCAGCTGGATCGAAGTAATAATAATTATAATAATAAATAATAAATAACGCACATACTCAACATAGCTCCGCACTAGGGAAACCCTGTGTCGCGGGTGCCATGGACACACACATAGACAACCACAAATTACACCCAAACTCACGAGAGAAATAAATGTAAGCCATACAAACATTTCTCCCGGCCCGGGAATCGAACCTGGGACCTCTGCGTGGCATGGTAACCGTTCGGCCACGGAGGCAGTTAAGAAGTAAGCTTGTTTTCAGCCGTCATTTTGAAGTCTCCATCTGGAATTTTTTGGCAACATGCAGTTGGTTACTGTTACCTTCTATGACATTCCTTCCAGTACCTGCTAACTATCTCTAAGTTTCCGTGACAGAAGACTTTGAAATGTGTATGGCGGCCATCTCGTTTATTTGAATTTCGAACTTTTTTACATCCTTCCGAAAGTAACTAGGGTTGTACCTCATAAAAGTGCACAAATATCCCCTCCACATAATATAGTTTTTGCAGGTTGTTGATCCCTCTTTCATATTTTTCACAATCAGGTCATATCATTTGATTCTTTGTTTTTGAACCTACCTGCCTACAACAGTATAAATATATTTTTTCCGCCATATCGAGAAGCATGCATTCTATTTCTATCAGTGAGTCGTATAAAGATTATATTATGTAATAGATAAATATAGAGGGAACTGAAATAATGCACAATGGCGCAGCCAATCTATTTAAAGTAAATTATACTCAGCATTCAAGGTAATGTAATAAACCGCAAAATTTTATTATATAATTTATCTGTATTGCGCATAATAGAAATAAATAAAAAAATATGAACCACTAAGAACATTTTAATTCCGCTGTAAATACCTCCATTAGAAACGTTTTGTATTTTTCTAAATCGAAACTATAAGCCAGTCTCACGTTTGCGTTTTCTTTTTCTACAAAACTATTTATGTTTATTCCCCGCTTTTCACCTGCAAAACAATATGAAAACAATGAAATGACATTATGAGACTAAATATCACCAAAAAAGGTTTGGAAATGGTCTCATTTTTGTTCCAAGGATATCGAACCAAAAATGTAATAAAACCATCGAGTATATAACCAGAAATAGAGACGAAATAAGGGCCATATATTCCTGGTAACACATTAATGATACAGCTCTTATAAATTTCAACTCTCTTTTGCACTGAAATATAAACAGGCCAACTACTGACCTGTGTGTACGTCTCCGTATATTCCAAAAAAAATTGTGTATTTATTGCAATAAAGATAATATCTCTAACTATACCGTGCTGTTCTATTCGGTGGTGTGGAAAAAACAGCAAAACCGCCATTATAGCAAAGCTTAAGTTAACTGGTCGATTTGAAGTGAAACAGTTGACGACACCCATTGACGACACCCGTCAATTGTTTCGAACTTGGGCTACCCAATCGGAGCGCATTTGTCACAGTGTTGATAAGGCAGAATAGTTTTGAAACAAATTAAATGACATTTCGTCTCTATTTCTGGTTATATATACTCGATGAATAAAACTCTAGAAAACTTGTCTTTCAAACAGTGGTATTGACTGTTCTGCTATCTATAGACTCTTCAGAGTTTTTGGCTTTGTCGGTCATTTCAATCCCCCGGTATACCAATGGAGCCGGAAGAAGAGCCGTTACAACGACCAATACTATTTAGTTACCTTGATCAAACGGGGTGTAAATGTCACAATAACAAGAGATTACTAAACAATAATTACTATCAAACTTTAAAATATTTAATCAAACACAACTTACCACATAAAATAATATCATTCCTCGAAAACTTGTAGTCCATTACAAAATCAGGTTCTCTCCCGTCTTCCAAAGGTATATTACTTAACGCTATCGCTATTACAGCCGGGTCGAGCATAACCCACGATTCTTCCTTATGCAAAGATACCCTTTCGTATATATTAAAAGCGTTTATTACATCTGTGTTGATTTTCCCAAATACATTTTCTCGCCAATCCTTAAAAAAAATCATAAGCAAAAATTGGTTTCAGTGATGAGTTTCATTGATAATCTTATTAACACTTTCTAATTCGACAGTATTAGTACCGATTAACACTAACTCAACGTTTCTTAGCACGATATGCCTTATTCTGATTTTCCCGATATTTCGGAACGACACAGCTTTATCTACTGTCTTTCGCTATTTACCATTATCACTCATTTTTTCGGCATACCACGCTCACTGTATCCACACGCGAAACTGAAGTCGAAACGTTTTTGGTTTTTAGTATTGTAATAAGCACTAAGAATCGGATTCCATGCATTAGATAGTCAGCTGGCCATCCAATTCGTGACTATAAATCGTCCTGAAATATCGGGAAAATAAGAAGTCATATCGTGGTAAGAAACCTGTAATTAGTTATAATCATTTGGTGAAAAACTACGAAAACCTTAAAATCTATAGTATTATTACTACTAAATAAAAAGTTCATTAACGCACTAGCAAAATGGAAGCAAGTAATTACTGGTCGAGTACAAGTTAGTATAAATTTCGTATAAAATGGCGCAACGTGACTTCCCTGTTTCAAAACACGGGAATCCTTAGATTTATTTTATTGCATAGATACTATTAGTCCCACTATTTTCATGTAAACAAGCAGAAAGACGATTAGATAAGCCACTTGATGGGAGGTGGTCATCGTCACCCATGGACATTTGTAACAACTGTAAATTGTAAGATCGAATCGAGGAAGGAACGAATGTGATTTCTTTCTTCCTCGAACCTGAAAGGTGTGGAATGGTCTACTTCCTAAAGTTTATCCTTTATGCTATGAAGTGAGGTTCTTCAAAAAACGTGTCAACAGGGCTCTGTCAGCGCATAGGCAGTTCATCTGAGCGTGATACTCGCGTTATCTTAGAAATGCCAGGCATGATGATGGATGCGGATGGTGATGGGCTCTACTACTTTGTTTTTTTTCTCTATTTTTTTGGTTATTTGCCTCTCTTATGGAGTACTGCTATATAGAATCAGCGCAATCACAGCCACAGAAGACTTAAGAGCTTATGTCCCACAGCGGATTAAAAAAAAAGTAAAAATAGGCACACTGTTAGTCCAATATCACAGGATGTTAAGTGACAGTGTGACCGACACTGGTACCCGTTCGTCTAAAAAATGCCCATACGCTTTAATCTTGAATAATCTTAAATTTTTGTTATTGTGAGAACGCAACAAGGAAGCAAAGACCTTCGTGAGAATGAGTAATATATCAATGGCATAAGGATAGATTGTTGCGGACTTTCTGATAGACCGCAGGAAGAACGACAAGGGTAAAGTAAATTGTAAGGCTCCCCTGTACACCTTCCAAAATTCATCCTATTTATAGGCGGTGGTTACCACTGTATCGGTCGGCATGTTTGCCAGCCTGTACCTACACCATAACAAAATATCGATCTAGAATTACGTTGCTTCGGCTTCATCTGTCTTTTTTTAATAATACTATACAATACAATATTTTTATTTGAGTTCCACAATGGTGTATAAGGTGTTATGTAATAGTAAGTTCACACATCATGGACCCTTTCGGGCACAACAAAATAGAAGGGAAGAAAGTAAGAGCTGTTTTCAAATGCAAAAACTTTTTGTTCAAAAGTTCCGTTCAAAAATTCTTTAATATCATAATAGCATTTATTTGTGCTTTAGTTTTTTTTTTAAATATTTTATAATTAGTTTCGTTTTTCAGTGCATCAGGTAGTTGATTCTATATGTTTATGAATGTAGAGTTAATCTTGACATTGGAATCATTAATCTATTTTTATGACGTAATAAAAATTTTGATGGAATATCTTGGCGGCGTTTAAAAAAAGTTCTGGTTTTTGCGAACAAATTTACAAATCTCTTATATATATATATATATTGAGGGAAGCGTGAGTAATTTGTTCTTCTGGAAGTGAGCCCAAGTAGCACGCCTTAAAACTGTTATATCTATAAATAGTCTTAATATGGTATAGATTCAGATAATAGTTCTCTATAAATGGTTTTAGAAAAAAGAAATTGTTCTTATAGACTTATTTCACTCAAGTCAAAATTTTAACACCTTAATACCAAACAACTTAATTAAGTGTAATCTTTCTTAAGATTTACTCTTTTAGTCCTTATTTTAAGTTCATCTGAAGAACAACTGATTATTTTTAGTAAAATTTTTCTATAGACATCCAGTAAAGTCTATTACTACTCTAAAAACTAGTGTTCTTAAGTTTATTCTAGACATATTTAATTTATAGACATTCTGTAGTGTTTGTACTTATTGACAAACACGTTATAGCGCGTCTTCAGTAGATTTTATTTAAAAAAATACTACAATTAGGGTTTTTACTCTATTGGACGTTGTAAGAGTTCAAGCAAAATGGATAATGGATAAAGTAAAGAATATTAAAAGATCTGGTGGAGGTGGTGAACCTTGGATATTAAGTCATATCATTCGACACAATCAGCGTTACCAATGCCAATTGTTCAAAATCCCCAAAAATCACTATATAATAATAATAATAACGTACACACTCAACATAGCACTAGGGAAACCCTGTGTCGCGGGTGCCATGGACACACACGTAGACAACCACAAATTACATTCAACCTCACGAGAGAAATAAATGTAGGCCATACAAATATTTCTCCCGACCCGGGAATTGAACCTGGGACCTCTGCATGGCAGTCCGGCATGGTAACCGTTCGGCCGCGGAGGCAGCAACAAAAAATCATTTTTCTTTGCCCTACAAAATTAAGTAAATTGATTATTTGTTGTGCATTTGGTGACACTATGTTAACGTTAGAAATAATCAATGAGTTTCGACCTATATTTAATATTTAAAGTTGACGAGTGGTAAGTTGGGGTGTGGAAGTACTAACTGCTCGGCTTTGTTTATCAATAGCTGATTTCGTTTTGCTTCATACCGGGGACCGGCCTAAGCGGGAGAAAAAATGACGAACTCAACACGCACCGACTGGTAATTTTACAATTCAGAACCAAGTACTCTAATAATAATTCTATTTAAGCTGCTTGTTAATAATACGAGGGTTGTGCGATGTTGAAAAACACGTCGATATAGTCCATCACAGTATTTTTAACAGTAACGATCAAACTAGCGAAGCATCAGCATTAGACAAAATGATAAAATGTTAGAATCCTCACATTTTCCTCACATAGCTCCAATCCCCACAAAATCTCCAATCTAGTTGAAACTCCCCTCAATTTGGGGAATTCCCCACAAATTGGCAACACTGGATACAATAGTCGTAATTCGCGCTCGGGCCGGTCATGGCCGGCATTTGTTTGTTGACAAATAAATAAACATTGTGAAGTAATTCCATGCTGTGGAATGATAAAAACAATTGAAATGAGCACGTAAACTACTGTACTTCAATGTTGTGTATGTGTATTGTGCCGTCTATCAATAGAATACAGTGAAATCATTGTGTGAAATGTGGTTGGCGTGAAAAAATAACCTCAATTTTGTAATGAAAATTTTATTTCTTCCATCATAAGTTAGGTATGTCATTAAAATATTAATTATATTTAAATGATAGGAAATGTATCCACCTTTCTAGTCATATTATAACATATTCCATATAATTATACAGAATAGCGTTTTTTTTTCGACAAATTTGATTTTTTCCAATTTTTTTTACCTAGTGTTTTGGAAAGGTTTTTGTTGCATAATACTGTCACTTCGAATAACTTTATAAAGGAAAAAATCGCTTAGAAACATCGCGTTTTGTAGACAATTATAAAAACCTCATAGGAGGAATACTCTTCTATAAGGTCAACTGCACTAAAGCAAGTACAAAAAAATCTTTTCGTATTCTAAAGTTTTTCTATAGATAAAGCTATAGACAAAATGCTCCTAACTGTGTTTTGAAAAAGCTTTAAATTCTTATCACCATTTTTATTTTTAAAGAATGACTATGAAGTAGCCGAGAAAAATTTCTTTTCTTTTAAAAAGTAAATCTAAGTTGAAATTAGCTTGAAGAAGCCTAGAACTTCTTGGAAATGGTTTGTTTTGTGAGTTATTTTGTATATTTAAGCTTTCTATAAATATTTGAAACAAAAAATCGATAACTGTACTTTTATTCAGTTTATATTTTATACATAAATATTTAATATTTAGCGAGCGCATTACTTTTATGACAGGTATTACATAACTTTTCAAAATGTATTTAAAGTCGCACGTCAATTTGCGCTTTCTAACCGATTAAACATTGCGCGAAAAAGTCAGAAACATTATATCTAATTTCGTCATTTTGTAATTTTGATAGTTTATATTTTGTAAGCCATTAAACTTGAAATCTATTAGTATTAAGAGAATTGCGTCCTGTGTTTGTAACGCTTTAGTATTTTACTTTTAAAATAGCATTACTAAGAAAACTATCATAGACTATAAATTATCTAAAAACTATCTACAAGATTAAAAAAACTGTCTACATTCTACAAATGGTCTTGTAGCATTATAGAAGGGATACTTTAGAAAAAAATATAAGAATCACTCTTAATACTACCTACAGATAGTTTCTCAAAGCGCTCTTGTGATCTACGAATAAAGTTGTGCCCACTTTTACTTTAAATTATCTAAAAACCTTCTTCGAGACATCTTGAGGGAATTTGAACTCTTAAAATATTCAATCGAATTAAATTCTATTAGACTTCTTATAATATATATTTAGATATGGGTGTGCTGCTTGGGAGTTCGGCAACTATCTATCTCTTTGAGGTTTGCTATTATTCTAATTAGTTTTTTTTGCAACATAAATAGAGATGGTGCTTCGGTACTATTGCCCCACAGTATTATACCGTAGTCAACCATGAAAATGCAAACGCGTAATAAACAGAGAGAGCAGTGTGAATACTCACAATGCCGACCAATTTTTGGGCAATGACGTTATGTACAATAGATATGTAACGTGATAATGTAGCAAAATCGTGTAAATTTTATTGTGAAACGATAACTTTGTATGAAACATATTTTACAGCTTTTTATATAATAAATATACGAGAATGTTTTAGCTCTAAAGACTGGCTTTACCTATAATATTTTTTAAATGACTATGGTAAATATAAAATGAGCAAACAATATCTAACTGTATACGAAAAGCAGCCCATAGGTTACACACTGCGACATTTAGCAGCGATGCAAACGCGATGCTGTAGAGATGCAGTGGCTAATCGTCTACCGTTACACACGACTACATCGATATATATGCGCGATTGCATCGCTACTAGAAAGTCGCTGTGTGTAACCACTCTTAGAGTTTCTTGTCAAGGACCTCTGTTTTTGTAATGTGTAGTATTTTGGAATCAATTCAGCGATTTCAAGTGTAATTTGCTTATCTATAGTATTTTTTAACTTTGAAAGTTAAAATCGCTTCAAAACTGAGTTTAAAAAGTGTGTATTAAATTTAGTTATAAACGTGGCGAAGGTGGTGTATAACGCCTGCGTAGTACGCAGCAAACTGGAATATGCAACTATAGTTCGGGACCCTCGTCAATACATGGTAGAACGAATTCAGCGTAAATTTGCACTTTGGCTCTATAGACAGCAGTACGGGTATTACCCATACTTGTATCCTTCACATTTTGTTGTGGGCATGGTGGACTTAGACACTTTGTCGCGTAGGTGAAGAATGCTTCTTCTGGCTCAATCCACGTCCCATCATAAGATAGATATTGATATAATATCTAATACTGATCTGCTGGTGCCCACCGATATACCTTGGGGTGATGAGGATGTGGTAGCCCCGCGCAGCCGGCCGCGACTTACGCAAGCCCCTCCTCTAAGCTTTGGTTCACACGGCATTGTCTTGCACGTTAACGTATACGATTATAAACGGATAGACAGCGGGGTGATCACACGATATATTTTCATGCGTTTAAAGACGGATAGCCGCAGTATCCACACAGCAATCGCCCCGAGAATACGTCTATGATGGACACACGCTTTGTTGCACTTTTATATGGGCATAGAAGATGGTAACAACGGCTTTATCGCCGGAAGAACAGAAGGTATTGGGTTCATCCAGGGGATCAAAAAGCAGTGAGCACAAACACATTTGAAAAGTTGTACGAAAATCTGAGAAATAATAAAATAAATTTTTCAATTACTTTCGGATGTCAGTAGATAGGATTGACAATTTAACAAAACATGTGGAGAATTCGAGGTACCCAAAAATAAATACGAATACTTAAATAGTTGGATGCCGCTTGTTCGGTGACTATTCGGGAAAAAACCTATAAGTTCACGCCGTGTGAAAGAGATTCATTAATACTATGCACCACCGCACACCGAATACGTTAACGTGCATTCGATTTGCTTGACAAGGCCGTTGCATATCCGTTTTTTTTTGCAGGACAAACATCGTATGAATGGTTCTATATGTAATGTATGCGATGCACTGCTCATTCGGTAAGATTTATACTGCAAAAAAACGTGCAGTACAATGTTGTATCAAAGGGGGGATTAGTGGTTGTACGGTACATGCCGCGGACGCGCATTGCGTTCGGCAAAATGTTGGGCTACCGAAGTCGTTAAACAAAAGAAAAAAATTGAAATAGATTTCGGAAAAGTCAAACTGGTCCATGCCTTAGCTACAAAAGCCTATGATTCGGTATAAAACCCTGGTTTATATTATGTTCCAAATACAAACAGATAATATTTAAGTACAAAATATAAATAAGGCTTAAATGAAAAGACACATGCATTCCAGACTGGAGAGTAATTTTGATTTTGATTTATTGAGAGTTGTTTCGTATTTATTATTATTATTCCATTGACTTACCATATCTATGTTCAAATAAGCATATATTTGTGAGAAAGGAACAACTGTAACTTTATCCGGAGTAGCATATTGGGTTATAATATGGTACGCTTCAACGTCTATATGAGCATTGAATTCGGCTTCAGGATGTCTATCACCTAAAATGAAAAAAAAAATGTATTTCTGTAAGCAACTTATTAAATTAAGGGCGCATTAAAATTTAGTAGCAGTGGAGCGCCTTGTGAAAGTGGAGTGACGGCGGAACGAAGTAAAATGACGAAAAATAAGAATGAGAGAACGAGTTCTTAGGTTTTCGCGATTGTTACACATAGGAAATGAAACTATTTTTTCCGGATTTAAATCGCGTATATTTGTTTTTTCAAACAACAGGTCCTTGCAAAAGAAGTCCGTTATTTACCCAGGATGCTGCGAGAGGCCATTGAAATTAAAAAACATCCTAATTTCAACAGGGAATTGGTTTCTCCGTACCACCAGTTTGGGATCCAGTATTTCCTCTAATGAAAAATCCCAAACAGACATAAGACTGCAGTACTAATTAATATGTTTTAGTTTATTCTAATTTCTGTTAATAATTAATTATAAATTAAACTTAATAAAAATTAATTCAATAAAATAATTTGTAAAACTTAATGTAGCGTAAATTGGAATGTTTTCTTTGTAAAATTTAATTAATTAATAAATTTAATAAATAACTATTGTAACTATAGCGAAAAAATAGGGTGGTTTGCATTAATATTAGACATAACTGGTTGAAGACTGTACCACCTCAGTCAACCGTGACCATGGGACCTGTAAAGGGCCCGAAACGTCGGTTTGTTTGAAAAAACAAATATACGCGATTTAAATCCGGAAAAAATAGTTTCATTTCCTATGAGAGAACGAGTCAAAATTTCAAAAGTACGTGGCTAGCTATCAGATAAAAGGGTGATAAAAAGATGGGATGACCATGAGAGAGGTACCATCGTCGCAACTTGTTGACGAAATAAAATAAAAGAACACAATTGAATAAATAAACTGATATTTTTTGTCGCGATAAATGTAACAAGACATGAAAATACAAAGCTAGATAATATGACGCCTGCAATATATTTTAATTTGATGCCCTCGAGCCCAATTTGTGCCTGCGTAACATCGAGTATACAACCAGAAATAGAAACGAAATGTCATTTAATTTGTTTGAAAACTATTCTACCAAATGATTACTGTGACAACTGCGCTGCGATTGACCAGCCCGAATTCGAAACAATTGACGGGTGTCGTCAATTGTTTCACTTCAAATCGATCACTTTAACTTGAGCTTTGCTATAATGGACGAAAATTGAAAAATTACATATTTAATCTTTAATTACCTATGATATGTGATTCCGTTTGTTATGTAATTAGATGTTTTGCTGTTTTTCCCACACCACCGGATGGAACAGCCCACATTGTTAGAGATATTATCTTTATTACAATAAATACAGAATATTTTTTGGAATATACGGAGACGTACACACAGGTCAGGTGTTGGCGCTGTACTATTTCGGTTTTCTAATTTGTGATTTCAGCGCAAACGAGACTTGATATTTAAAAATGATATAAAGCCCATTTGCCTGATGAGTTGCCAGGGATGGATGGCAATTGTCATTTTCGTCTCTATTTCTGGTTATATACTCGATGCTGCGTAATTTTAGATGTCCAAAGTGTAAACAAAGAAATGTCATCATCAAAATATGAATTCAGGTGTACTAAATCTTTTTGAACGAAATTGGAAAAGGAGGAATTTCTCATTTTCTACAATTATAATTGTCTATTACATCCAAAATAATAACACAAAATAATTAAGTTTATTGAATGTCAGGATGTTTCACTGACCATGATTTACATTATTTTTTGTAAATTACTCTACTAATTTGTTATAATTATTAATACAAGATGAACAAGTAAATGAAGAAATACGCTACGCAAAAAAGTCGTTAAAAACCAAAATAAAACATTTCATGACGAGCACATAGAAAAATTCGTAAGGTCCGCTGGTTCTTCTGTGGCTTAGTCAGCATAGCGTGTAGCACGGTTTGCTACAAGACACGCGTTCGATTATTATTATGACAAACTAGTGACATTCGACATCTGTGACACGACAAAATGGCTGCACAAAACTGTTTTTGATACCGTTTGTATTACCAGGGTCATAAAATTATTTATACTTTTCTTATAATAATTGTATTAAACGAAATTTTTAAACATCTAATTATGATTCCTAAGTTTTCCTAAACTTTACTTACTTTCGACGTGTCCCGCACCAACATACAGATGTGATAATCGTTGCAAAAACTTAGGGTCCAACTTTATCGCCAAAGCTACATTTGTCAGGGCTCCGATAGTAATCACAGTCAATTTTCCTGAAAGGAAATCAATCAATTAAATTGCATAAACAGACCAGAAATACTTAAAATTGTAGTCATTAACCCGTGCATGGACAGTAACGGAGTTTGCCGTAAAATTAAATAATCTCAGAATATGATAGTACCCGTTTTGCTATATGGATCTCATAAAAACAACTATTTGCTTCACAGCGTGATTTCCTGATGCCTACTGTTTTTCCATAAAGAAGTATCAACGCAATTCTCGCGACCATAGGTGCGGCCGCGGAACCTGCTTGCGATAACGCGACGCGATTTTATTATTGCGAATTAGGACACCTATTCGGACATCAATATGTTTAATCGTACGTTCGTACAAAGTAAGTTGGCGCGAATAGATTTCGAACATTATAATCGCGTGATGGCATCGCACAAACAACAATTAGGACACCTATTCGAGATCTGTATATCTGATCGCATGTTCGCACGAACAAAAATCGCGCGAACTTGCGATGGGCGCGTAATCGCGTTCAATTAGGATGACGCCTTAGACAGTATGGCGGACACCGACGTGTCTGTATGAGGTGATACAAGTAAATGTCAGTGCCATTTTACTTTCTAACATCAAAAGCAAGGTTAAACCATCTTTTCTCTAAAACGCATGTTTTAAGTACTAATGCAATATGACAAAATGGCAATATGATAATATGACAAAAAGGCAGCCAACCTCCTACGGTCATAGCCGTACTTTTTTATATAATGATTGTGACGGGATCAGTAGTGTGATTCACGTAAGTTCAAGCTATCAAAATATCGTTGAAGTTACGTAGTCGTTCGATCGAAGTCCTATACAAAATGGGTATTCACGTATCGCTTGAACGAACGTTGATATGAGTAGAATCGAAACGTAACAACTAATGAACGTCATCTTGGATGGTGGAATTTGACATTTAGTTCGTCGAAAGTCTATTGAAACTGTCAAAATTTTAGCAGAATACGTACGACTTGTCGTTTAGAGTCGATGTAAGTTCGATTCATATACCAGAATACGCTTCAACGACATTTGGATCGAATGATTTTAAAATTGGACTCGTTGACGTGCACCACGTGAATACGAAAAAGCAGTTCAACGACTAAATCGCTACGATATCGTAACGGTTTGATTACGCGAATCAGCTCCCAGCCGTGACTAATAAAGCGTAATTATTATTCTGTTCAATCAATATAAGCGATACGGCCCAAAGAAAAGTAGTGACATTATTGTGTGCTATACTATTTAAGTACTGTTTATGAACGGGCTAAAAAGAAATTACAAAAAACCACGTACACAACTTATATAAAATGGTAGAAGACACAATTACGTGACTGTATATTCTGGACATTTACAAATCATGCAGTTCAAAATTCAGTAAACAAAATACATTTCAGTCAATACAATAATCATGCAATAACACCTTCATGTTTTTTTGACAATTCCAAAAGAGTTTCGACAGCGCTCTGCGTCTGCGCTGGCACCAGTCCAGTTAACGGCTCATCATTGTCTCCTAGTCCATCTTCACCGAAGTAATTATCTGTTATAATTGGTGTAATGACTAGTGAAGAATTTGATCCTCTGTATATTGGTACCTGAACACAAAACAATATGAGTTTTGAAAATCAATCTCCTGGTGAATTAGTCAAATGTGAAATACTTTAAACTGCCTCCGTGACCGAATGGTTACCATGCTGGACAGCCACGCAGATGTCTCTGTTTCGATTCCCGGGCCGGGAGAAATGTTTGTATGGCATACATTTATTTCTCTCGTGAGTTTGGGTGTAGTTTATTATATACCCAATTGTCAATGACACCCGCGATTACCGATGAAAGAGACTCAGTCTTTTAAGGCGTTTTATAACGACTCGACTCCATTTTACAGCACTCGACTCTAAAATTAAGACTGGAGGTTCGAGTTTTTATTAATAAGACTCACTGGTCATACTAAAAGATTTAAAAGATTTAAACGACTTATACGACTTAAACGACTCGAGTTGTTTACAATGGACTTATACCTATTTTATGTCTTATTAAACCCAAAGTTTGTAAATAAAAATGACGTAGTATGTCTAAATAATCACTTTTATTTACTTATAATAACAATTAGGATTCAAAGAGTGATTTAAGCAATAGGTACGAGATTTTAAGACCTAATTATATAATGATTGCATACAATACTTTTTTGCGAGTAAATTAAAATAATGAAATACAACCAATATATAAAAGTATTTAGAAATCCAGTTGTAACGTGCTCTTTTTTTATTTTGTGTAATATTGGTCTGTAACCAATTTTCTTATTATGAAGTCCTGGTACTTTTGTTTTAAAGTCTTTAGAAACCCGTGCACAGTAGTGAGATACTATTTATCTGTAATACACAGAACAAACATGTACATAAAAATCTCGCCTGTCACCCATTCAAGGGTAGGTAGAGACTGTGGACCTCCACTTAATACGTTCATAAATAGTATGTTTCATTCATCATTATGGTCAAACGACAGTATCGGACCTAAAATTTGATAAATATTTTGACTACTGGGTTCTGTATCCATTAATTTTTATAGTAAAGAAACAAATAATGCCCAAAAAACATGTTCTTGGATTGGTTCTATCTAATTAATTGACTTCTGTGAACAAAGCTACGTTAACGTTATCCATCAATCGTAAAATAAATATCTTGTGGGTAGAAATAAAATCACGCCATACGACACATGACTCGCGACTCCCGAGGCTATAAGGCGCCAGTCGTTTTAGTCCTATAAGTCTTTTAAGCTTCCTAGGGTTAAAAGTCTTCAGTTTTAGTCTTATGACTCAAGACTTGAGGTTTGAAAGACTAGACTAGTCGTGAGGCGTTAAAAATTAGTCGAGGTTTTTTAAAAGTCCTTAAAAGACTGAGTCTCTTTCATCACTACCAGCGATACAGGATTTCTCAAGTGCGGAGCTATAGGTGTGTGCGTTATTATTATAATCTATCTATTTTAAACTCCCGCCTCTCCTATGTCTTAAAAGATTATTATTATACATAAGCACTTAACTCTACAGAAATCGCAAACTGCTGCACAATAAAAGAATATTCATACCGATTACTAGACATAAATGAAAGGAAGGAAACACCAGTTTATTTCATTTCGTCAATCCAGGGGATCCTCGTGATAAAAGGTATTAATGTTAATGAATCGGTCGGTAATCAATAATTCCTTACACTTTACAATCACTGGAAAATCCACGGAACAACATCCAATCATTGCAAATAAAAAAAAGTTGAAAATTACAAGTATATTTTTCGGGAACGTTATGCTACTACCTAACACTAATTGTTTTATTAAAGAAATTGTTCCTAGCCCTTACTAGTCTTCATGTAGTACATTGATACTCACATCTTGCCTCTTAGCAGTTTTCAGAATTTTCTGGTTGTTAATATTCACATTGTCTTCTATTGTATTACCGTTTCCTGTTGTTAAGGCAATTAGTTGTGGTCTGAAATGTAAAAAACAATTATTAACACCATATATAAGTTCGATACCAGAAAAAGTAAAAGAGATAAGATAAGAAAAATATCGAGCACAAAATTGACTGTATAAAAATTGATAATTATTTAAAAAACAACTAAATTTGATACGCTTGTAATATATATGTATATTTCTTTTGATTAACTATGAATATTCTATAGCGGTGGTAATCCAGAATGAGATCCATTGCTTTTTAAATTGAGAAGTTGACAGTTTCAATGGTACAGGGTGACTGATACGCTGACTTCAATTTCTAAGTTAGTAACATTTGTATATACACTTTTTGCTTATGTCGAAGGAAAAAATATAAACGATATCGTGACCTCATCACCATATAGGTAAGTAAATTATAAAAAGAAACGGGCCCAACACGCTTCCCTATAGCACTCCGAATATATTTGTTAAGTATGTCGATCTTGCCTTTTGCACGAATTTATTTCTAAACATATTCATAAAACTTGTTTTCTATCTGACACAATTCTACATTAAGTATTTTTTTAATTAAACCTCGAATTTCTTGATTGTCAAGTTGTTTTCGCAAGATCGAACTTAAAACACAGTCAAAAGCCTTTGATATGTCCAGGAAGAATGCAATAGTGTCTTTTTTAAAGATGTGAATCTTTCCACAGACTGTGAAGAAATACAGAAGCGTTTATCTCACTCTACGAAATCTAAATAGACACTGACTAAATATATTTATTATATTTATCTGAAAGTTATAAAGTTATATAGTTATTTTTTATAATACTTTCTCTAATATTTCAGTGACTTTTTGGAGCATTTGTAGATCTCCACATAAACTTACTTTTCTGATAAAACTAAGTTATCTCTAATAAGAGATAACTTCGTTTTATCAGAAAAGTAGACAGGTCAGTTATAATTAACAGCGGCATTTTAATGTATATATAATGTAATACCAGTCTTCATCACTTGCATTAAAATGCCATCGTCACACAACTTCTTTTACTTTTCATAGATTTAATTATAAACCAATTTTTTTGTTTGTTAACAGGGTTTAATTATATCACTTGGGATAAAGAAAGACCCTGTTTGTGTTTCACATGGCAGCATTGTAGGATCTACCTAATTCATGGTTTATATTAATGAACGCTGATTGCACTACATTACTCGTAAACGATACTAACTTGAAAAAGGAAATAAATAACGCAATCAGAAACATCTTTGTTTCAAATAATGGTGAGGTTCATTTCTTACATAATAACATTAAATTTATCGAAGTCAGTCTGTTTCACAATATTGACTTTATCTAATCTGTGTCTGGAAATATCCAATGGTTACATGTGCCTAGCCCTAACTAAAGTTTCTTGAATGTGATACCTGATCATGCTAATAGATCAAAAACTAATTAACGTCCCCGAGCTGAATCCCTGTGTACTCAAGTTAGATTAGATTAGTCAGCAACTACTTATACTCGTATACTTCTCTAAGTAAATAGATGTTGTGCCAGTCTGCATTGACGTGTTGCCTACCTATGTGGAAGGGCACTTATAAAACTTTTCTATACAGTTGGGAAGAGCACAGAAGGTCATCCTTTAATTAATTGAAACGTAAAGAGGGTAGTCTTCAATTAACCAACGCGTTTGTAGAATTGAACAAGAAGACAAATATATTTATTTTTTATTTTTTGAATTACAACTCAGAAAATACGCAACTATAGTGAAACTAATGATTAACTACATGTTACAATAGTAAAAGTAAAAAAAAGAAAGTATTGTTATTGATGTTGACTCTATAATTCACCTTTCAAGACCCGTAAATTCAGTCAAATTTTTACTAAATTTGTGTACGCATCCATTTCTCATCTTGTTATTTGTATTCTTCTTCTTATCACATCAATGGCACTTCAATGCTGGCCATCGTGGTGAAAGGATTATTATATATATTTTTTTATTTTTTATAATATCAAATGTAGGGACGTACAAGTTAAATTTGGCAACCGGCGTAAGGTACTCGCCGATTGTTGCCCAGAATGCGCCAGATGTATAGAAAAGGAATGGAATGTCTTGCGGAGAGGCCCTTTTCGTGTAAGTTATTTTGTCAAGATTGAGTCCTTTAAAAAAAATTAAGTTACATTACTTGCATTTATGTTTTAGTGCATGTAGTGTTTACCTAAAAGTGTAGTAGCAATTCGAGTGTTTGTAAAGATGATAAGATAGAATAAGTAATGTTGTACACAGACGTTGGTAAACCTGATAAACAAATAAAAATTTCACTATAAAATTATTAATGCACTAAACTTACTTACCCACCATAATACTTTTCGTATAGTAATGTCATGAAGATAGCCAGTGCATCATCAGCTCCTGCGTCGTTGTCAATGATTATTTTGTTTTCATTTTCGGTACCACTGCAAAAATAATAAAAAAAATGTCATGTGCGGAATAAGTTGCGAAAGCGCTAACTTATGAGGTCATTAAACATCTATATATGGCAGCAGTGGTGCTCCTTGTGAGAGGGGAGTAATGTAACACATTACTTAATTTACATACATTACTGCGTTTCGGGTTTGAAGGGCAAGGGTGCTGGTGAAATTACAGGCGCATAGGACGTCAACTTACGTCTCATGGTGACGGGCGCAGTAGCAGTGCTCCTCAGATCATTGTTATTTAAAGCTCTGTGTGGCACTGCAACTGCCATGGATAGGTCTCTCGCTTACCACCAGGCACACGACTTGTTCGTCCCGTCATTTGGTATTATAAAAAAAAAATAGGAAACAACTAATAACTCACTCTAAACTAAAGCTTTTCTCAAGATAAATTGTATTATAATCGGGTAAACCGAGGAAAATGGTAACTACATTATGTATTTTTTCTTTTCGACACCGTTATAAGATCTTTTAATATAATTCGTGGGAACGAAATCAACCTAAGATCAATTCCATCAAAGCGGAGTAGAGTCGTACCGCTCCGTCATTTTGACATACTCAAAGTATTAAGTCAATATAACTAAATTATAACCGGTTGTCAAAACACATCTGTCCTTACAATTGGGTTGATAATGTAAATTACGTCTTTAAGTAACTATTATCACATTACATCCGTCATCGGATTGCTCTGTAAAAACAATAATTTAAGCCGTACAATTACATATTCTGTGGTCATACTAAAGTTCACCATCTTAACCCAAAACGGGCAGGGGCTTGATTTATTCAACAGTAACGTAAACCTATTTAGACGTATTTTCCCTATTGTTCTTTTAAAAATACACGTAAATAAAAAAAAACCAGAAAAGATGTTTGCCTTGATAGAATACTAGAATTCAAACGTTTAAATACTTTTTATACTACGGAAAATAAAGAAATACAAAGCATACTTATTTGCAATTATCACTGATACGTTTAAACAGAACACGAATAAAAGTAATGTCTTAGACATTGTGAAATTATCGTGGACACGTGCGCTGCCGTTGTTCGATGGAGATAAACTGCATTTTATCTAAATTTATCTCAGAGGGGCAATACTCGCTGTATAGTGTAATTTACATCGACTTAATCTGCATTGGAAGAATACCTGATTATTTTTCAATCATTTTATGCGTTTACAACGTCTGGCATATCGACTTACAAATACTATAAATTACAGATGCAGGTGCTGGTATGAGGTGTTAATGTGTTTTAGTCTTTGCATAGTAGCTGTTTTTTCCGATCTACGCGCATATTTGTTTGTTTTTTTTTTGTTTTTGTCAAACAAGCCAACGTTAGGATGCCTTCAAATTACACGCTTATAGAAGCGCTATTACGGCGAGTCTGTGGCGCGGCAGCCGCGCACTATTAATTTCCATACGATATTTGCCTTTACTGATAAAGCTATTATATCCACATTTAGCTGTCAAATTCCAGTAGTAAAATCGCCATTTTTATCATAATTTTATCACAATAATTAACATGGCGAGCACTGTGATGACATATTTTTGTAGTATCGCGAGCGCGTCGTCCAATGGCTGCAAAAGAACATCTCAGTGCCAAACATGGCCGCTAGGTCACAGCTGATTTTAAAAGGTTTTGACAGTATTGCACAGTAATTTTTTCAACGTAAAAATTGAGCGCGATAAACGAGATAAACAGAAATAATAAAAACCAACAAATTTATATAAATAAATTATTGGGAAACGGTGAGGAGAAAATTTTTAATACAGTTCAACTCATGCGAGTAATTATATGTAAATAATAACTAATATAATGTAAAATATGTAAAAAACTGACACTACAAAATTACCGGCGCGTGTCACTAGAGATTTTCTTGAAGTCTCTAGTGACACGCGCGCGCCACTTTTGCACTAACAGTTAGTGAAGTAATAAAAACGTAATACCTGGCTGCTGCACCACTGCAGCGCTCCTATTAGCATCTATTTCGAGAGCGCCCTTAGGCCGCAAATTCCGAACGGGGTGGTACGTTCAGATGTGCGCGTAACCGTATGTCTTGTGTTGGATATCCAACAAAAGATACAATGAACGCGCAAACCTTAAACGCCCCGCTGAAGCCACCACTGTTGCAAATTTGTGACCTTAGAGTCAGCCGTGATCATAATACCCGTAACGAGCCCGAAACATTGGTTTATTTGAAAAAACAAATATACGCGATTTAGTTCCGAAAAACCGTTTCATTGCCAATGTGTATCAACCGCGAAAGCTTAAAAACTCGATATGACACAAAATATTACTAACCTTATGTATTTACGAAATTACTTCTGTGTTATATGATGGTATCCAACACGCTCTTTGTGGGTTTTGTGTTAAGACTATGCAGGATGTAGCCTCTATACATTACAACTGATAATACCGCTTATTAAAAACAAGATTTGTTGCAACATACGCACATCGATTTAAAAAACCGTGCATCCAAAGATTTACGTGCTGTCCTGCTAATTGTAAATGCAGCACTTGCAAAATGGCGGTTCAGAGAAAAACGCGAGAAACATATTTTTAGATACCTAGATATATTTATGTTGCTTAGATATTTTCACCGCACGCACTCATAGCCCCGCACTAGGGAACTGCGCGGCAGTCCAGCATGATAACCGTTCGGCCACGGATGCAGTTATTATTTAATATCTCATCCTCAGATAACAATTTGTAATATGAGATCTCATCTAAACATATGTTTATCGTGTTTTTCTCCGAACCGCTATTTTGCAAGCGCTGCAATTAGCAGTGCAGGGCATGTGAGTAAGTTTTTTTGTTGTTCTGTCCAAAAAAGAAGTATTAGAATTAAAACTTATACCTTACCCTTCACCACCGGGACACTGACATTACTGTTTGACAACACAAATAAAACTCAATTTATTAAGTAGTTTTAATTGATTGTATATGTTCACATGTATAAGTAAAAAGATGATGGATTTTTTATGAGTGAGTCTGAATTATATTAGAAGTCTTATCGTCTGTTAACTTGGTACAGTGGTGTACACCATTTACATTACCACGGGTCGGAATGAAAGCGAATTTTTTAACGGAATTTGAAATAACGTAATAAATAGTACATTGTGTCAACTTTACTGTGTAACGTACAGTGCAGATACGATTCGGTAGCTGCGGGAATCCCCGATACTGCGCGAAAATTCTTCGGAAAACGTGCGATCTGTTTTTTTTTGCACAGAACAATAAATACAGTAGATGTGCCTAGTTTGTGTAATACGTGTGCTAACAATACGTGAAGTTCCACATACTCAATCTGAGTCTGCCATTTGCACCTTGTACGCTATGGTCATGTCAATTACCCGCGCAAAATCTCGAAAATCATAGAAAAATGCCTTATTTTGCTACTTTGGAGAACAAAAATTCTAGGGTCGGCGACTATAAACCACTTAAATTAAAAAAATGCTTCATTTGTTAATATTTATTTATACATTTTTTGTGTTGTTTTTAGTGTTGGAAGTTAAATAACCTCTAGAATAAAGTTAGAAATTTATGAAGTAACAAATTAATTTGACTTATGTGCGTTAGCCGGTAGATGTGTAAATGAATGATGTTGGATATTGACTTATGTACTTTAGTCTGCCGACCCTAGAATTATTGTCGCACTAGTTATATTATCTATGGTAGTGTTTCATATCCTCGTTAAGTCTTATTTCATTTAATTTAATAAATTTAGTTTTTTTTTGTTTATAACCTTATACTGCTGCATTATGGTCGCTTCATTTTTGGAGAACCAAGTAAATGTCTCGTATTATCTGGAACTAAGATGTCTTATCTAAAATAATTGAAAGACAAAGTTAAACATTTTTAAAGTTCACACAAATTAAGTACCGAAACACAAATCTTCTGGCGAGGGAGTGCCCTTGCCAAAGTCGGGCAAGCACGGCCTATAGCTCGGGCTATATCTTTGTCTCTACGTAGCTCCTACGTACTCCTAAAGGGACGCAGAAAAATCTGAAATATTCAAGAATAATACGAAAACATTCTTTCGAAATGTATCAATGCCCTTTTTTGCAACCGAAGAGAGAGAGAGACAGAGATATTGTTTAATTTAACGGTATAATTTATTTATATTCTTAGTTATCAAACTACGACTTAAAAATCCTTTTGTAGAGCACTCAAACAGCCCAGCTGTGTAATATAAATCGTTTGATTATAGTCCGATTATGGAAACCACTTGCGTTACAGAACGTCTAAAGGACTTAGTGCGACAAAGCGAAGTACAGTTAAATTCAATTCTGAGAGTTATTTATAAATATCAATTTATTCTAACGCATTAATTCATTATTATACAGTTTATTTATAGAATAAGTTTTATAATAAAACTATAGTAAAAAAAGATCACCTCGTAATATTTTTTTATGTTTTCGATTACTATATTGCCAAACATTATTGTAACGAAATCATGTGATGTTAGACAAAAAAATTACATTAAAATCAGTCTACAAATGATACGTAAATAGTGTAGTCAATATGAGTACGTATTTCTTCTGAAATCGATTGAATACTACTCACCTTCCGGCGGCGGCCATAGTAAAAAAATTAAATGACTATTTTCATATTGTCCCGACTTTCCAGCAATAAACAAATTTAACCTTGCCGTGACTTCGGCTCTTGTTACTGAATAGTAAACGTTGTGTAATGTTGCCATTTATTTATGAAATAAATTAACAATTATGAAAAATATTGGATTGCAGTGTATATTTATTCATTCGTAAATCGAAATGTCTTTTAGTGTTGCCAGTTTATTTAATAATAAATATATATTATATTTAAACTGAACTGATACAATTTTCTTGTTCAGTTTATAATTAAACTGAACAAGAAAATTGTATCATTTTTCTGAGTGTCTATCTTTCTATTAATAATTATAACAAACTAGTGGAGTAATTTCACAAAAAATAATTGAATATCAATTTAATAAAAAATTAAAATACAGCGAGTAGCGATATCTGTCGCCAGGACTGGTAGCTGTAAAGGTACTAACTGGGTGATAAATCTTTCATAGGTTTCTCATAAATGGCGCTATGACTTTAAAGTCATTGAAAAACCAAATACAAAAGACACGACGCAAGCATACGAGTATAGAAAAATTCGTGGTCTGCTGGTTCGTTCCGTGGCTTAGTTGGTAGAAGCCGTCGCTTCGAATCCGGCCGGATCGAAGGAATTTTTTCTGAATGTTCGATCTTTGTATTATTAATTATAACAAACTAGTGGAGTAATTTCACAAAAAATAATTGAATATCAATTCAATAAAAATTTAAAACTGTATTATAGTTTTTTATTTATGATGCCAAGTGACGGGACGAATAAGTCATACGCCTGTTGGTAAGCCAAACGCCTGTCCATAACAGTTGCAGTGCCACCCAGAGCTTTAAATCGCAAAGATCTGAGGGGCCTCCACGGCGCCCGCCACCCTGAGACATAAGTAGACAAGTCTCTAATTTCACCAGCATCTTTACCCTTTTAAACCGGGATGCAGTAATATTCACATTACGGCTTGGTGGCAGAAATAGGTAAGGTGACAGTACTTCCATGAACGAACACTTTCACAAGGAGCTCTACTGCTGCTAAAATGATGGAATGATCAAATTGACGATCATTTCATCACCAAGATGAAATTTGGTGGATAGGTTGTTTATGAAAGAGCACATCAAGCTTGAGGTTTTGTACTTTGGAACGTTCTTAAACGGCACAAAGTTGAATTTACATCTTAATCGTCAAGATCAACGTGCTATAAATAAAACTAAATCTTTGTTTAACCACCATTCATGATGTTAGGTAATTCGTAAAACGTGATAGCTAAGTCTGATAACAATGCATCAAATATCCAGATAGTCAAATTACAGTCTTACGTTATCATTAAGATAATTATAGGTAAGTAAGTAAATGAGAAACGAGTTGGTAGATACAATTTAAAGCGGACCACTGTTAACATTTTGGACTTTAGACCGTTCTTATCGCAAGTGATTTGCTCGCTAGTTAAATTTGAATCTTAAGTGTCAGCCTTAAAGTGTTTTTGACTTTGTTCAGTCTTATTTCTTTTGAGCAATGATTTCTTGCTAATGGCATATTGATAGATAAAACATTTATTGTTTAACATCACACATAAACAAATTAGTACAATTGTTAACGAAAGCTATATTAATCAATTATGTAGTTTAAAATGCTTATTACTGCTTGCAATAACTATCAGATTTAAACAAATTAAGTTACTGATTTGATTTGGGTATAATCAATTAATGAACAATATGTCAACCCTAAAAGATATTGATGGGATTAAAAAAAAGATAAACATGACAGATGAGGGAGGGAGAGAACGGGGGAAAGACTTTCCAAACATCTACATCTAATTATGTTTTTAAAGAAAATGTGTATTAATGTATATCTAATTATTATTAATGTGTGTTATGGATCTATCGCTTTATTTTAAAACTATATGCGATATGAATGCCGTAAATTAAGTAAACTAACGATAACTCTCGTATTTAGGTCGAATTTTTGCTCGACTTGTATCGAACTAATCCTCGTTCCTTAAACATGAGATACCGCGGCGGTGACTCGATGAAAACTGCGCGCAAAACTGACAGCCCGGTCAGTCAGTACGGCTGCGGGTACTAGCGCCGGCAGCACGCAACTACCCGCGTTTGGTTCATTCTCATTAAAGCCATACGCAGGATTGCACACTTCACTAACAACGTCTCTTTCTAAAGTCTCATCCACAATATCCACTAGATGTTGTACCTAACACTGTTTTCTAAATAATAATAAAATATAACATTTTCTAAAATATACATGGAATATCCGTTAGTTTAGTTAATAATTATGACTGAGTTAAACGATGATTTCATATTTAAAATATAACACAATAAATGGATTAAAAGTGAAACACACAGAAATTAAAATTAAAGGTAAATAATAAAAACAAAGAACAACAAATTAAATTAAAATACATAAGAAACAAAACATTAAAAAGCGAGTGTGTGCTGAAGCAAGACAAATGGTTCGTGACTTAGTGTAAAATTTGCCCACAAGCAAAGTACTATTTATATACTGTACATAAGTATTCACATTGACTTGAGAGTAATATAGATAAAAATAGAACCCTTAATATATATTTTTATAAGTCAAAAAGAAATACAACGCAAAATCGAACAATTTCTGCCAGACTGGTAGATTCCATTAAAGAAATGGTAACACCACGCATGTGCACGCACACATATAACAATGTACGAAATTAACTCAATCCCAACCAATGATCTTTGTTTAGGTATTCATGTAACTACTGTTCACATGTATGTAGTAGATAAGTAGTACAAATACATTCCATATTGTTTTAGCAGTTCGGTATTGGCGGTTCAGTTTGTATATAATATAACCTCAAAATCAAATAGTGTGTTTAGTGTGTTGAAACTATTGGTAGATACGAAAGTTGGTATTATAATAAAGTACTTTTTTAATTAATGTAATATGGCATGTCAATGCATTTTTAAGTAACAGTAGAGCTCCTTGTAAAAGAGTTCGCACAGGAAAGTATTACCACCTTACCTATTTCTGCCGCCAAGCAATAATGTGAGCATTACTTTTGAGTTTTCGAAGGGTAAGGGTGCTGGTGAAATTATAGGCACATGGGACTTGTCAACTTTTGTCTTAGGGTAACAGGTGCAACGGCAGATCTTTGTGATTTAAAGCTCTGAGTGGTACTGCAACTGTCATGGACTGGCGTGTCGTTTACCACCAGTCGCACGACTTGCTCGTCCCATCACTTGCTATCGTAAAAGAAAATATTAGGGGTTCAAGTATGAAATTGCCGTTTTATTGCAATAGGTTCTTTGAATTTTCATAGAATCTTCATGGTTTGAGGTTTTCGAATGAAACTTTTTTCAAATGGTTTCTGTGATTTTTTTTTTTAAATTTGAAACATTTGAATATCGACTTTCAATTGTTTTTGTTATTCAATTTAGACAAGAAAGATGGATACTGAGAAAATTCGAGTGATTTTTGAATACGAGTTCCGACGCGGAACTAACGCGGCAGAAACAGCCCGCAATATCAATGCTGCGTTTGGAGCGTCTACTAATGAACGCACCGTGCGATTTTGGTTTAAACGCTTTCGTGATGGAAATTTCGACTTAAAGAACGAGCCACGAGGAAGACCGCCCACACAGGTGAATAACGATGAATTAAGAGAGATAGTGGAAGCCGATCCTAGTCAAACTACCCAGGAATTAGCGGCATGGTTTAACGTTACCTTACCCACAATATTGACTCACTTGCGTCAAATCAATAAAATAAAAAAATACGAAAAATGGGTGCCTCATGATTTGACTGATCTGCAGAAAGAAACGCGTGTTGAAACTTGTGTTGCCTTGTTGAATCGGTACAGAAATGACGGAATATTGGATCGAATTGTAACATGTGATGAAAAGTGGATTCTTTATGATAACCGGAAAAGAAAAATGCAATGGCTGACCCCAGGTCAAATGCCACAACAGTGTCCTAAAGCAAAACTTGTTACTTACTATAAAAAGGTAATGGTAGCTGTTTGGTGGTCTCAGCATGGTGTTATTCACTATAGTTTTCTCCGATCTGGTCAAGCAATAACGGCAGATGTCTATTGTGCCGAACTCCGAACCATGTTGACAAAACTAGCAGTAAAACAGCCCCGACTCATGAATCGATCTTCACCATTATTGCTCCACGACAACGCGAGACCTCACACAGCACGAGAAACCATTTTGACCCTTCAGGAACTGCAGTTAGAAACCATTCGTCATCCTCCGTATTCACCAGACCTTGCTCCAACGGACTACCATTTTTTTCGTGATTTGGACAATTATCTACGTGACAAGAAGTTTTCTTCCCAGGAGGCAGTACAAAATGCTTTCACACAGTTTGTGCAGTCTAGATCGTCGGAGTTCTATCGCAAAGGCATTAATAACCTTCCCGTTAGATGGCAGCAATGTATAGATAATAATGGCAACTATTTTGATTAAATAAATTTGTTAAAAATTTAAAAAATAAACAATTTAGATTTTCAGTACAAATCGGCAATTTCATACTTTAACCCCTATTATTATCTAACGTAACGCAAAGCTCTAAAAGATTATTGTATCGCAAATAAAATAAAACTTGATATAAAAAAAAATACTTTGCCAAACAAAATTGCCAAGGGGTAAAAGAGCAAGTGCTGAATTGGTGTATCGCAGTTCGGGTTAGATTAGCATCCCTGAATTTACACATTTTGTCCCTGCAGCAACGTACCTGGGTGCAAAGTTGATTCAAGGACTTCCTCACGAGTCACCGCAGATTGTATGCTGGTGGTAGTTGCTAGTAAGGTATGATGAAACCAGGTTCATAATGCTGTTTCCAATATTATTGTACTGGGTATCGATATTAATTAATTCCGTAAATTGCTCAAATATTGTGTTGAGACTTCAGTATTCGTCTTCATTTTTTTTTAAAAAACATTATTAAATTATTTAATTAAGATAATATACAGATAAGGTAAAAAAGACGATAAAAGCTTAACTACTAGAAAGTAAAACTGGGATTTTAGGAACCAGCATAACATCAGAAACAACTTCACAAAGTTTTTCCGCATACCGCTCATTCGTCGTACAAATACATTTCCATGTGTAGTGTGTGCGTTCGTACAGCTGCAGGATGACATTCCTTTTAGTGTGAGAGTTAGTGCTTTAAAATCTTAAAAGACAATATGCGGCCCGATGCTCAAAATTATGTTTGTAAAATGGAAGTGGCCATTTCGAGTAATTGTTAAAATATACCTAAGTGATTACACTAATTTTGATGACATTGTAATTAAGATAATTATTGTACATACGATTTCTTGTTTTTAAATACGCCAAATGTACAATAATTATTATTACAAATAATCAGGTTTAGTGTTTTATGGAAGCATTATGTATTATTGTATTTTTGTAAAAGTGTGAAGGGAAAGTTGGTTGTTTACAATCACAAAAGCGCGGGAGCACGGGCGGAGACGGGCTGCGGTGAGATTCAATCGTAGGAGTTCTTTGTACACGCGATTACGTTAGCGGTGATATCAGAAATTATTTCATTGATACTTTCATCGATAAAATTTTTTCGCAATAAAAAAAAATATATTTTTTTTAAATGCTAATAATTTGAATTAAAAAATGTACATTTGTAGCATCTTTTCAATTTGATCCTGTATATAGCACTAAAAATGTACGCGATAAATTCATTATTATGTATACTGGCCGTCTAAGTGACGTTAAGAATAACATTTCTGTACCTGAATCAGTTCTTATATTCAATACACTGACGTAGATGGTTACAAATGACGGCGCCTTAGATGGTTACAAATCCAATTAATGAGCAAATATTCAAATCACGGTATAATATAAAATGCATGACTACTAACCTGGTAAAATATATAACCAAAAACACAATCGAACCTGCTAGTACAAAAATACTCAACACCATAGCTAACACAACGTGAATCTTCATCGTGAACGAATGAACAAGTCAAATGAAACTTATCTTTCATTTAATGCATTTAACTAGAATGATTCTTACAGTAGAGTAAAAATAGATGTTCGTACTTTGAACTAATAAAATGATGTCTAACAGACAATGTTATAAAAATAAAGAAATATTTATTGACTAACAATAATGCAACACTGTCGTGGAATTAACATGCGTTATTTACATAATGACGTAAAACATAATTAGTTTCAATATACGTATGTCGTTCTCTATCTTATCATTTTAGAGATTATTTTATTGCATGGTATTATATTACAACGTGAAAAGTAGGTACTATATAGAATAGTGAGTATTTATTATAAATTGCAATTATGTGACGTAATTGAAGACGTATATCATACTAGCTGGTGCCTTCGTCTGCGTAGAATAAATACTTTCACTTGCTTTTTTGTAATACTAAGTTTTGTGATGGGACGAACAAGTCGTGCGCCTGAAGATAAGCGACATGCCTGTCCATAACCGTTGCAGTGCCACTCAGAGCCTTAATTTGCAAAAATCTTGAGGGGCAGTGTTACTGCGCCCATCCCCTGAGACATAAGTTGAAAAGTCCAATGTGCCTGTAATTTCACCAGCACCCTTACCCTTCAAAACCGGACAGCATTAATACTCACAAGTAAGTAAGGTAAGTAAGGCGGTATTTCCCTGGACGAACTCTTTCACAAGCAACTCTACTGTTATCAAATAACTTATTTAACAGTATTTAGTTTGATTTCAAAACTTCTTTTTCTCTTGACTGTACTTACAGAATACAGTGAAGGGATCCATTGGGAGTTGCAAAATACACAGACGATCAATTGCAATTTAAAATTGACGGTGGTTCAGTTTTGGAGATCAGATGGGAATAAGTCAGATCTTAACGCACACACTCAACGCACACACTCAACATAGCCACGCACTAGGGAAACCCTGTGTCGCGGGTGCCATGGACACACACATAGACAACCACAAATTACACCCAAACTCACGAGAGAAATAATTGTAGGCCATACAATTATTTCTCCCGGCCAGGGAATCGAACCCGGAACCTCTGCGTGGCAGTCCGGCATGGTATCCGTTCGGCTACAGAGGCAGTTGTATGCCAATCTTTGCGGTTTAATGCTCTGAGCGGCCCCGCACCTACCACGGACAGGCGTGTCGCTAAACACTAGGCGCACGTCTTGTTCGTTCCGTCACTTGATATCATAAAATTATAATCTCAGTACAGAGTACTAAAAAAAAGTTCGTAGAATTACAATATAGATGTAATTCTTATAAAAAGTTTTATAAAAATCAGTTGCTGAAAAGTGCGCGAAACCGGATTCATCCTCCAGTTTGCCACTCTTAGAGGTGGAATATTTCCTTCAAATTTAAATGGGACCACTACTGAGGTAGCCTCTTTTCAACAAAAAAGAATCATCAAAATCTGATCACAAATTACCGCGTAACATACATACAAACTGATGAATCTACTCCCTCGGAAAAAGGGCGTGAAGGGCAGATACGTCAAGGGTAAGCAGGCATTAGGTCACTAATAAGACAAATAAAATTGTTTAGATTTTCTTACACAAGTTTATTATTATACATAAAAATTAAAACTGGTTGCATTGAAACTAAGTCTTATCATTAAAAATTTAAGGACTCACGTATAGGAAAATTCAGCACGATAGGTACTTTAAGCAAACTATGTGTTTTATTGCTTGACATAAAAAAAATATTTTAGACCTGCAGCGCTAGCACGACTGGGCGTGACTTGCGCGAAACGCAACATAGAAGTGTGAGACTAGATACGTTGCGATGTTGCGATCTGGGCCTATATGCACTCGGGACGAGACCCACGGGAGGACGACACGACGTGACGTGACGTCACAACGAGCGCCAACCGGTATACAACGATAGCCGGGAAGAGGGCGGTGTGAACTCGCCCGTACAAATCGGTGCGACGTGGCGTAGCCCGTGATATCCCGAGCCGTGGAAAGCCAGCAAAACATTGGTCGCTCTCCCGGGCATCTTATTCCGAGCGGCATATAGGGCCGGTACGTAATACAATACCTCGCGTGTCCAAGCGTCCTTACTTTGAATATATCAAATAAATGAAGTATTTGTCAACAAATTTAACCATTAAAAGATATTGAAGCCTATATAGATTGATTATTTTACTTATTCGCTGGTCAGAGTTTTGAAATCCACCTGGAATAAAAATAAAACAGAATTGTATTCATAGTTGTGTAAATGTCTTCGATGGACAGAAGCCAGTGGCCTGTACTGATGCCACTAATTTATTTATTAAAGCAAACCAGCCATGTTTGCTGTGCTGACTTCTGGATCTCAGGGCAAAGAGAGCCACTGTGAAGTCGTATTAGGTAAATGGGCTCTTAGTTTGAGAATTACAAACCAGAATGTAAGCCATAAAACCGTAAGAAAAATGTGTACGAGAAAATACCCGTGGAGACCCGTGCCCAGCAGTGGGACGTATAAATGGATTGATGATGAACTCCTCTCTAAAGCTAATCTTCAATGCGTTATTTTTATCATGTGATTATCTTATGACAGACATGACATGTGGGATACGACACATTAGTGGGATAGCATAAGTGATTTTATCTGATGGTTATTTCCGCGTCTGCTTCGAAAGCAGGTTGTTTATTTGATATAGCTAATTTATAAAATATATTGAAATGACTACGAGTATATGTAATAAGTAGCACGTGTATTGCTTGGTATGGCATTTACTTGATTGTAGAACCACCACGATTTTTTGTCATTAGATTCTTCTACTTCATCTTCACTCTCCGATGTATTGAATGGTACTAAGGCAGCGAAATCCGGAGCTTCTTTGTCAAACTTTATATTGTTAAAAGCGTACTGAAAATACATATACCTTTATCAACTGTTTTATGACATAATTATCTAGAGAACGTATAAACAAGCTTTTATATCACGTCATGTTACTCTTATTGGCTACCCATGCGATAGCATGACACATGCTACCAATCAATACCTGTGCCTGCAAATATTTTGGATCGGGTATCACCATCAAATTGAATGGTTCTGAATAATCTAACGTTTTAAAATTATTTCTTTATGTAACTGGTGTGAAGGCTGGAAGATGACAAACCTTGGAATATTTAAGCATTGTCTGTTTATCTATTTTTGGTTCTTCGTCTCTTAATGACGTCATTCGTATATCTTCATTCGCAATAGCATCTTTGAGCAACCAAGTTGTTCTAGTCGTATTTTCAATTAGGTGATTATGTATATGATGTCCTTTTGGCTTTCGATTCCTTAAGGGTTGCAGTAAATGTGATCGAGATACGGTTGCATTGGTAGATCGCATAATTTTTTTTCGTGGTCTGAATGTACCTAACCTATGTATAAATCTTCTGATAGTGTCCGTCGCCAAGTCGTGCTGTAAGTTTTTGGAAGTCTTCTTAAAAGAATTACTATAAGTATGGATCAACATATCCATTGATAAATACGTTTTGCTTTCCGAAATTAGATTGTCCATTTAACTGTTTGATGGTTCTTAAAAAATTATATGGACTGAGATCTTTACGTCTGAGAAAATCTTTTTTTAAACTTTTGAGACTTACAAGGCTTTTATCTACTGGTTTACTGTAACAAAAATAGATTACCTGGAGAACTAACCAAATAAATATACACCCAATTTCATGGCAACGTCTATAGACTTTATTAAAATTTATTTTCCTATTATTATTGTTCATTGAAGTATTATCAAAAACAAATAAGGTACATCATATAGATTTGTCAAAGATCATAAAAGTTCATGTGCAACAAGTGACACACATCACACAGGTAAATAATTTAAATAAACATGAATAGTCGTATTGTGAAGTTCCAATATTTCGGGCACTTACTAGTAATATTCTTCTTTATCGGTGTCTTCATCGTCTCTTTCATAACCATCAGAATAGTACATCTGAAAACATACAATAAATATAATAACCAAAGCGGTATTTTTATAATATTTAAAGGATTATTAAATTATTGAGAAACACGAATATTTTATTAAAGATAAATCATTGCGTACACTGAAATACAAAAACTAATTTCAGTAAGTATAACAAAAACATGTTGCAAATTAGTTTTTGTTTTAAATCTCTAATTGTATTTGCTCCCCGTTATACGTTATTATTGCAACTATTTGTAAATTTTGGTGATCCTTTTTCTTCTTATTTAAGAGCTCATTCTAGGCTCTTGTCGGTGGAGTAATCGCCAACCGTTTCTTTTCAGAGCTTTAGATACAACATGACTATAACTTAACCCTTATCAAATCTAAATGATTTCGTGTCGGGGTTGCCTTGTCTTTTTTTATTTGATATTTCTCTCTTCTAAAAAAACTGTCGTAAAATATTAGATGCCCAAACATCTGTCTGCTTCAGTTTTCTGTTGTCTTTAATAAGCTTCTCTTTTTCTACACTATTTAACACCACCTTGTTGGTTTTTCTTTCTGCATTAGGTAGTATGGTTTTAATATTATTAAGTTTCCATTACGCATCCTTCCCAAAGGATTAAAAAGAAATTGAAAGTATGTACTTATTATTATCATAGAATATCTCAAATCTTCCACCGTGAAAGTAATTTTAATTGCTCACAGGTTCCAAAACAGCTAGTTAATTTTATATTGTAAAAGTGTATAATTACAGATTTCTCCTTATTGTAAGACAGGGGTGCATAATCTTTATTTCTTAAGTCCGCCGCAATCAATATGATACTGGAAATCAAAAACAGGCAATTAATGATTAAGGCACATTTATTGAAACAGTATTTAGAATAAAGAATGTTTTAACGTTTTTCTTAAACTTGGCGTAGAAACTACTCTGCGACAATTGCCATGCTAGTTGTCATGTAAAAACGGTTCTGAAGAGGTAAGAAACATTGAAAAGGAGTGGAGCAATATAAAGTAAACAAATTTATATGTAAAAAAATGTGAGGAGTAGATGGGTAAGATAATTGAAGTAGTGTGTAGGTCAATATAAGAGCAGGCAAGGGAGACATAGGGTTAGACATTTTTACCCTCGAGAATTAAAGACAAGAAGCAAAGTGCAGAACCGAAGGGCAGAGAGATTGATGGCAAGACTGGCTGATGACAATACCAACACTGTACAATGAAAACTAGATTATTTTTTACCTATTTGTTATTGGTGGACTCCTCCCAAGTAAAGATTGTATCAATTTTTTTGCAGAAGCTTGTTTCTTGTCCTGTAAATGTATTTATACATATAGATAAGATAAAATAGTGTGTACAGTGCTTTGATCTTAAATTTTATACATACTAAATAATCTTTCATATTATTTATGTTTGTGAAATACTTACCAAATCTAAATTTATGGAAGATATCTGAAAGCTAGAAATGTTTATGTTTATGTAGATACTTAAAAAAAAACCGATATTTCGATCACCTGAACTCTTTAGTACTATAAATAAATGAAATTCAAATTTTTTAAAAATTTAAAAAGAACACACTCACCTTGGTTTTAATTTCTGATTCTTACTAGTTGGTGCTAACTGTAAAAATTAAAATATATAGTATGAAAATGAAGAAAATGAGCAAGACACTCGGCAGTAATATGGTCTCAAAATAGGGGATTTCCTTTATCATGAGTATCAGAATAACGAAATTAAAAGTCCGAGGGCAGTGCCGTAAACCATACTATAAAAAGACACGTATGCTATGGTACTACACTATGGAACTACATACAAATGACAAAATAGAGGTTATTAAATTTATCAATGGACGTTAACCTCATCAGCAAGGAACTGTTTGGCGTGTAATTATTTATTGTAGTTTCTATTATATTGCGATACAAGGTATTTGTACTCCGTAAAATAAAACAAAACAAATAGGTAATAAATAAATGTGCATTTTCTATTTACACATTATTGCAACACAAAGTAAATTACAAATTTTGAGTTAATTTTAAGTACAAAGCCGAGCTTATCCCATAAAGGAATTTCTTCCAAGTAACCTTTATTTATGCTGTTTCAAACGAAGTAACATCAATGATTGAGGCGCAGGTAGAAATGCGCCGCGATGCTACATCGTCGATCTCAAGAGTATTGCAATTTGAACCTTACCCGATTTCAATTAATTATAGCATAAAGTTTACGTTGAAAAATCTAATGTACTCTGCTTTCTCGTCCGCCGATTGGCGCTGGCCCTAATCATGCGATGTACGAGTATACTCGTGTTGCAACGCGCTGGTCATCGACTTCGGTATCTAACGACAAGTAGTATGCCAAAGGCGGGAGACGACACTGTGTTAACGAGCCATAAGTATCGTGTAATTATTTAGATGCGTAGATGCGCAGAATTACCAGACGCGCGGCAATATCCAACTCTGCCCTACTTACTTTTAAAAACAAAATGTCCCCATGAAGCAAAAAATTGTATCTACAATATTTTAAGTGCTTTTTCTCCGTATCTGTATGTTATAATTACAAGCAAAAAAACTTTGCTTATATAATATCTTACCATAATATAATTAGCAGACGCCCTACGAGCAGGATAAAATCTGCGCGTGGGATGCATTCTACGGAACCCAGTATACACAACTCTCTCGTTTCTGTTGCCGTATCTGAACAGACAAAAAAAATGTTAATATAAAAAAAAATCAAGCGCGTACAGCTGCCCTCCCTACAGCGTAATCAGGGACTACAGATCTAGGATCCGGGCATACTAATTTCACTTTTCTCATTTGCATAACATTCGTGACCGTTCGTAAAAATCAAATAAAAAGAAAAAAAAATTTTTTTATATATATTTCTTTTTATTCTAAGTTTAAGGAGCTTTACCATGTGTGTTAATGGTAATGTCGCTCCGTAACGCTAGTTAATTTATACATCTAACCTAGATTAAGACTATCTAAATATATGTTGTTAAGTATCTTGGCTTCGTTCGACGAAGGAACGGTCAGTTTACACTACCCAGTCTGTCGTATGTTAACCACACTCTCCAACTATCTCCTAATTCTTTCGGTCCAAACACATTCCATCAAAACGTGGTTAACGTCTTCTATAACGCCCTAATTGTTACAATATGAAGTTGGTATAATGCCCATCAAATATGATTTATTTATTTTAGGAATTTTGTTAATTATGCCTTATTTTATTTGTTACACAATTAACAGTGAAAATGACTTTTTTATTATAAAGTTTTTTGTAGTGTATGATTTAATATGTCGCGTAACATTTTCGTATATTTTGATAAAGATTCATATAGAATCGCTTGAAAGAAACTTATGCTGGAGCGATTGAATTTTTTTGTAGGTAATCATCAACAGTTGTCGTTGGCATTCGTTCATAGTACATTGCAACAACAAGTGTTCAACGTTCTCAATTTTATTACAATTTTCACAATTCGGTGAACCTAATTCAAAAATTCAATACCTGACAAAACACAGAGCAGTTTCTGAGCAAATAAATATGCTTAGAAAAGTAAGGGTGTGAAATACACGTACGGTTCCGTCATGTCTTTAAAATACATTGTTAACAACAACCGGGAACAAACTTTTAGCTTGTAATTTGCGTGTATATTATAATAATTTAAAACTTTCATTGTAAATCAATATTTAGTTCCTTATAAATGAATTAATAATAAAACAGATATGAAACGGTTCTCTTAATTTGAATTAAGCTCGAACTGTTAGTTGTTGGCGGGGAAATGAAAAAAGATGGCTGATAGATTTTTTACACACATTTTTCTAGCTCACACTTCACATGAAGATCTTCACATGTTTTTTTCTAATAGGTTCAGCGTGATTGGACGTACAAGTCGGGCGCCTGTTGGTACGACATGCCTGTTCATAAGAGTTGCAGTGCCACTCAGAGCTTTAAATCACAAAAATCTGAGGGACATTGTCACTGCCCGTCTCCCCTGAGACATGTAAGTTGTCAAGTCCCATATGCCTGTCATTTCACCAGCACCCTTGCCATACAGAACCGGAACGCAGTAATACACAAGAACGTCTACTGCTACTAAAGTTTTGTGTAGTAAATAGTAATATTAAATAATTATTTTTAATAACCCTTACAGCACAGAATATGACATCGTGTAAGTATTCAGTGTAAAGTATTCAAGTTTACCGCGTCTGATCGACACCAATCGTTTGTGCGTTCGATTAATATTCGCTGTTAAAGCAGTGCAGTCGCGTTCTAGGGTTACACACCTGTGCCGAGGGCGACAAATATGGGCGTGTACATGACGAACGGGAGACTGGAAAACATGTATTTTTTTAAATTTCATTATTTCGTGTTTTATGACCTAATGGTGTATTTTCTTATTATGTATATGTTACATTTTATATGAAAAATAATTAAACCGTGAATTGTTAGAAATTTTAGTTTTTATTCAGTCGTAAAGCCATAAAACACGATCGTGCTGGCCAGGATAGAAATGAGTAATAATTTTTTTTTACTTAAATGTTTTTTTAGGGTCATTAAAACATGTGATAAACTTCAAGTTTCATTATTATAGTTGATTTTTGCTATTGCTTTATAGATCGCTATTTATTCAAAACTTCTATTAAGTCATAAAAAAATACGCTAACGCTTTGGTAAGGGTCATGACAGGATGCCATGATCGTGCGGGGGAGTTTTTGCAAAGGTTTTGGGAGGGGTGATTTTTTGTATTTTTTCTTTTTACTAATGGCATAAAAAATGCCACATCAAGTCCAATTACAAAAAAATATTTACTTGTGCTAAAAGGGTTATTTGTGAAATTGTTGTTTCTACTGAGACACTATGGTGTCTTATACAACTATATTGTAACAGATAAATTGTAAAAAAGAAATAATCCGAACTCACTTAAGGCCTAAGTTTGCTATATTCCCATAAACTCCTGCGCCGTTTTCGAGTTCCCTATGTGGGAATTTTACTTGAGACTTCAACATGCCTAAGGCTGGACGCAATAGTGTATGACCTGGAAGTATTGGTTCTGCTGGAGGAAGATGTGAGATATCACTAGGCGCTCCTAATATTGTGCTCACACTCTGTGGGTGGAACTCGAAATAGACTCTTCTCTGAAAGACAAATCATTAACATTAATTAAATTTACTCGGCCTCGACCATAATTATTTGTTGCGATACCTCCCACTTGTACTTTCAAAGCACACACGCATTACACGAATGAAAAAATATGGTCCCAGCATAAGCGACAATTAAATTCGGCTTCGCTAGGCATGCCGCGCCAATTTGTACGAGCTCGCGCTACAGGCCCATACAATGTGAGCCCGCGCCCTCCGGCACTGGCGGTACTTTTCCCACAGCGGGATGGTGCAAGCTCGTGCGGTACGGTCCGTGGCACCACAGGCCGTGGGAAGTCAGTATTAAATGCATTTTTCTAAAGGCGTGTGACGTATATGATTCTATGATGATGATTATATAAATTCGATAGTTTCAATCGACAGACGTCGACACGACCTGAAGATGAAATTTAGTGTGTATAGATATACTATATAGATAGACTACGTACGTAACACAAGGCAGAGTAAAAGTACGTACGACATTAGACTACATTTTATACTGATAGGAACGAAGTTCTTGACCTACACTCGGGACCAAATAAACCGAAGCACAGTTTTTAAGTTTGATCCTGATTATTTTATTACCATTTGTAAGTCTTTTATCGGCGAAGCTAATGAAGCCACTTATAAATTATTTAAAAAGCTTTTTTTTAAATTACTTATAAATTATTTAGATTATTCGTAAGAGCGGTGGTAGTGGACTACCACCTAGTAGTGTTCTTCCAATGGAGTGGAAGAACGTTTGCTTCTCAATTGAGAGGTCCACCTCCTCGACCTCCTAATCGACCATTTGATTTTGAGTAGATGAGTGTGAAGAAAAGACATGTTAAACAAACTTAACCTTTAACCTGAGACATGACATACGTTTTGGTATCAAAAATAAAAAATAAAAACATCCTACTGAAACTGAAATGTCAATGACGATTCAAAATCCTTGGAAAAAGTGAGGTCCTCAACTCGCATTGAGGTAGCGTGGCGGACTGTGTCGTCTTAACTTTCTTCTTATAAGAGACCCGAGCCCTGCATGGAACGTACATATACGTATATATGTTAGGTTAGGTTAGGTTAATGTTGAATTTATTTCCCTTGGACTTTTTTGGAATGCATAATTTTATGAGATTTGGAGAACTTATTTCTACTAGAAAATATACAACTACACGCTACATGCGCATACGTATAAAATATTTATAGTGCAAACATCGGACATCAAGCTACACAGTGATGCATCTTGTTACGTTGCACTAAAGGTGATATTTGGACAAAACTGCATAGCTTCATGTGCTGTTGACTCTGCAAAAAATACGCACCATAGGAATTGGTAAATCGATGTAGCTTCTTTTATTATTTCTTCTTTTGGCTCTGTACATTCCCTAAACAAACAAAAAAGAAAAGGTTATTACTGTATTTTGTACAATGACAATATGATTTTGACGCCATCTTAACTTTGATACGCAAATCAGGCGATACGATCAGGTATCGCCTGATTTGCGTCAGTATCAGTGAACGTCAGTGAACGAGTGAATTTACATACTACTGACACGTTATGCAGAATGTTCCACGGCTGTGGAACACGGAGAGAAAGCACTTTGGATATTGTGGAAAGGATATTTTTCTTCATGAAGATGTTATTTCATTTTTAAAAGTAAGAAAGTTGCTTGCCTCATCTGGCAATCGGACCAACCAAACATGAAAAGAAAAATACCTGTATTTTTATAATTCCGATCGAAAGGGTCAATTATAAGGATTAATTCCTTATAAGTAACATTCGACAACAAAGTTCAATCATACAATTTATTGAAAAAATATACAATGAAACTCCAATGTATCTACGGTATCTATTGTCTATTTGATTTTTTCACATTTATTCCGTCCAATTCCCACACGTGACAAGCAACTTTTTAAAAGGCTTTGAATGAAGGATAAAATCCTATCTACAATGTTTAAAGTTTTTTCCTTTAGCTTGTTATAGTCGTGTGACGTCCTGTGTACTTATTGTATATACTGCTTATTTATAAAGATACAAAAGACTGATATATATCAAAAGCTACGGTATGGCAAGGTCCGAGTCTAGCCGGATCAAAGGATTCTTTCTTTACATTTGATCTTTGCACACATACAAAAATTGGTGAAATTACAGCCACATTAGGACGTGTCAACTTATGTTTCAGGGTGACGGGCGCAGTGGCAGTGCCCCTCAAATCTTTGCGATTTAAACCTCTGAGTGGCACTGCAAGTGTTATGGACAGGCGTGTAGCTTACCATCAGGCGCACGACTTGTTAGTCCCGTTATTTGATATTATAAATAGATATCAAAAGTAGTTTCTAAAGTAATACTGATCCTTTAGTGAATTGTCATATGCGTTTGGTTCCTAAACGTTTTTCCGACCCCCGGGTCTATAAAAGTCATGCCATGGTAGCCTAACGGTTTGACCTACAGCCTCTCAAGCAGAGACCATGGGTTCGAATCTGTCTGTTATCTCAGCCGCAGAGATAGGAGCTATGTAGGAGAAGCCGTGCGGGGTTCCACACCGGCCAATGCTCAATAGAATATGGGTCATGTTAATACTAAAATAGCCTTATCGCAATGTACTTAAATATACTGCAGACATATTAAAGTGCTTACTATCGAAGGGATATCCCACAATTCAGTTAGTGTGCTTCTTCTCTGAAATTTAAAAATACTAAATTTGCAAACCTAATACTTTACGAACCTAAATGTTCAAGAACTACACTAAACATTTTTTTAAATATAATTATGAATACAAAGATCGAACACACAAAAAAATTTTCGTCGACCCGGTGAGACTTAAACCGTCACCACGTCCATGCTGCACCGTAGCATTGCTCTAACTATCTGAGCCACGGGTCTAGTTACCGAGTCGTCGAAATTCTCCTATCTGTTTTTGTTTTTCGTCTTTGTATTGCTTTCGGCATTCGTCGCCGCTAGTGACACTAGTGAGAGATTTTTTTACTTTCTTCTATCGTTGTATCTTCGATCTTTGTACGTAACCTTAACGAACCAGTAGAGTTATTTCACAAAAAATCTCAATAAATACTGTATAAATACGGTTTTCATATACGTGTAAGTTCTTCATTAAACATTCGCGTGGTTTGCAAATACGTCATTCACGAAGGTGCCTCCTATTGGCGGGCGTAAGCACTACAAGTCGTTACTTTCGAGTACTTTCGATGCGCGCTCCGCCTCTACAAGGCAAAAATTACCGGTGTTCTCTAAAATACATAAATTACGTAAAATCTCATGAGACCGTGAAACCTGATGCTAAACAGACATATCGTGAACTTGTCCATACGGATCAAATTATCCTCATCGTGTTGTCACCCAAATCGCAGCTAGCCGCCGTGATCCAGCAGCTCCTGTATTCATCAACCAGATCAAGGTAAGTGGTGCTTTGTTCAGTGTTTGGCATCGACGGTGCAAACCTGTTGGTAAGGTTCTCATCTTCCAAAAGGAATCGCGAGACGGCTCCTTGTGGAGTTACGTCTATCCTGCAGATGTATGAATCCTTTCCATTTTGTTATCTTTATTCCCATACAAATACAGTTATAATATGTTATAAGTAACTGTACTTGTAAAAGCTTTTTCGCTCGCTAACCGTCGTGGTGAACGGACATATCGTAGTGTTGTGTCAAATACAAGATATTATTCTAGCTATCGCGCGACTATGTGCCATGTCAAAAGAGTCTTTGAGTTCATAATTGCGTGTCTCATCCATCAATCTGAGTGGTACAGTGTCAAATAGTCCGTCGCTTACTAACTTGCAGTAACAGTTTCTAAATAATCGCTTAACTTGCAGTAGTGTATGTGAATCTACCTAGTTACCATGTCTGTGATGCGCTCGCCCAATACATTTCGTCTAACCCGGACCTTACTGCTGCTAACTTAGAGGAGTCGATCAATATTTCGATGCGCAAGCGCAAGTTTTCTGATGTTGACTCATCAGTTAGGAGGCATTAACGAGTTTTAAAAACCAAGTACTGGAATCTCTGAATACCTTCAAGGAGGAAAACGCCAAAAAAATTCGCAACTTAGTGACGACATCAATAAAGGGATTCGAAATGAATTAACCAAACTAACTAGCGCCTTTCACGAACTCAAACCTTCTATGGAACACACAGATCAAGACCTACAGGATGTATACAAACGGGTGACAGAGTTGGAAAAAAATCATCTAAAATCGAACAACTGGAATCACAAGTCACTTCACTTCGTAACATTGTCACTGATCTGGAGCTTGAGCGTCGGAGGAATAGCCAACTTGCACGGATGCTCAATCTAGAAATGATCGGTGTTCCAGAAAGCAAAAACTAATCCCCGCGCGATTATGTAATGCGTTTAGCTGAGAGGGCGGGAGTTCAGTTACGCCCAGAAGATATAGATCATGCCAATAGAGTTGAGAAGATGAATCCCAACAAAGAATACCCTCGTAATATTATATTCCGACTGTACAATCAAACTCACAAAGATAGCTTATTGTCGGGTTTACGTAGGTCTCGCAATATCACTACTTCAGACCTAGGCATACCTGGAGACATCCGTAAGATATTTGTGAATGAACACCTGACCCCAGAAAATAAGATGCTTTATAAGTCGTGTACGAAAAAGACAAATACGTAGGTTTTCAATACGTCTGGGTCAGAAACTGCAGGATTTATGTCAAGAACAATGACCAATCTCCTCACATGTTGAGCGAAACGGAAATCGACTTGAAGAAAATTACCAAGTGATTTTTTCTACCCTTCATTCAATTTCTTGCCCTCATAATGCCCTAACTGTTACAACCAAAATGTTAAAAACTTTTGTACTTTATTTACATGTCCGATTATTACCACTTATTGTTTGTTGCGGTACATTCCAAAACTGTCAATTTATTAACCCAAAACCATCACAGCTCATTATTCCTTAAAACATTGTATTAACCTTGTCGTCGTAGGTTCGTTTTGTGTACAATGCTGTAATAAAATGAAAACTACAATATACCTTTCCATAAAGCAATGCCTTCGTATGTGTGCTGCGTTTATATTTCACTATCTCCCTATTGTCAGCGAAACCGGTCGTCGTCGATCCGGCTCAGCCAGTATCGCTTTGAATGAATCAGGTGTGCTATTGCTTCGTATGATTGTATTGGAAACCGGAATTAATATAGTGTTTGAACGTAAGAGTGAAGTAAATAATTTAATTATAGTGTGGTACTATCGCAATTCCCTTGTTTGTGTGATAAATACTGTTCAGAAAATGTTGTAGCGGAATTCTAGTGCTAAAATAGGCCGTATAAGCTTTAGCAATCTCATTATGAGTTTAATATTTACCACATTACCACAACACATACAAATCACGCCACGCAAAAATAGTCACGCTGTGCCTGCGAAAATGCGTAACTATAGAGGCTCATTGTATTATTTTAACTTAACGAAATTAGATGTTTTGCTGTCTCAATGGATAGATCTTTAAATCAGCTGCTCGGCGTGTTTGGACTCGATTACTTAGTTATGTATGTCTGAGTTATGTATACTGCACTTTAAACACATCCACACACACACACACACACACACACACACACACACACACACACACAC